AAATTAAGGCGCAGACATGTTGGACCACCTGGCCTCAGCCAATCCCGTGTCTCTCTGCGATCCAATGGCATGGGGGAAAGGAAGGCAGCCAACCAGAGAAGGACATGGATGAGGAGCAGTATATAATGAGCGGCATGACCAGTTTGGTGGACTCGGACGAAAGGCGCCTGACGCGTAGTTCTGGCTTCTGGTTGGTCAATGAAGCCTGTTCTGTTGTACCGGTCTTTTTCCTATTAGGGCTCAGGTATTCTTCAATGGCAACGAACTAGGGCGCAGACATATTGGACCACCTTGCTTCAGCCAATCCTGCATCTTTCTCGCATTCCAATGGCATGCGAGGAAGATTACCAGCTAACCAGAGAAGGACACGAACGAGGAACAGTATATTAATGAGCGGAGTGGCCAGCGTAGTGGACTCCGATGGAAAGCGCCTGACGTGTGGTTCTGGCTTGTGGTGGGTCCGTTAAGCCTGTCCTGCTGTATCAGGTTGTCCTGCAGTCCTGCGCCCTGATCCGTCACCACACTCGGGCTCGGGTATGCTACAGTGGCGACGAATGAGGGCGCAGACACATTGCACCACGCTTACCTCAGCCAATCGCCAGTCTGTTTGCGTCCCAATGGCATGTGAGGAAGATATGCAGCCAACAAGGGAGAGACATGTAAAAGAAGCGGTGTATAATGAGCAGCGCAGCTAGCGTGGTGGATTCGGATGTACGGCGATTTACGTGTGGTTCTGGTCCCTGGTTGGATAAGAAGCCTCTTCTGTTGTGCCAGTCTACCAATGGGTTGTGCGCCGTCAAACTCATGTAGGGTGGATAAAAAAAATCATGTTAGAGCTTAACGATTCTAGTAACGCCTATTATTCACCAATGCTTATATCGATAAGCAATGTCTATTATATGCACGCACATCTAGAGGCAACAGTTCTAGAAGTTGTTTGATTGCAATCGCAACAAATTATTTTCAGGGCAAAAAACATTACGAAGTATACATAGAGCATAACATTTCTTGGGTCGCCGTGAAAAGATAATTGCTTAAACGTTAATCATGACCTCAAATTAAAATTTGTCATTGTGGAAATAAGACGGGTTCAAGAGAATTGAATTTTTTTCATGCGAAGCCTTTAACGCATCTTCCTGAAAGAAATTCTGGGATGGATAGTTTAATTATGCAATCAAACTATTAGGGATTTATTACAACATGGAAAAAGTTAAAAGTAACACAAAACGGTTATACTAGTAGCAGAATACTCCTATCATTTTTTATAAGGCTCTACACTTTAACACCTCCGCTGCAAACATTAACTTTCTAGATTTGAATGCCTTTTTCTGGACCTAATTAAAAGAAATGTAAGAATAATATTTTCTGATTTTGTTGCATATTTGATACCATTTTAATTTGACTTAAAAATGCTTATTTGAAAGGATAACGTGAAAGTAGTTGCTACAGATCCCAATATAAATCTCACTAATTCCCTGGGGACAGCGGAAGTTTTGTTGATGCTGAGGCCTTCTCACATAATATGCATTGAGCAAATAATGAGAATGCTAATCTCAATATACTTCTACGAGTATTTTCGATTCTAAATCTAAGTGTGATTCTGAGCAGTTTAACGAGTATTTATAAATCGTAAATGAAAACAGTGCGAATAGTGCGGTAATCCAACGTTGATGCAGAGGATTAACGAAGGTTTTTGAGCACGAAGGATAAAAATTATATTGCATGATTGCAGACACAGGAGATGAGTGACATAGCTTAGCAAAATATCTGTTAAGTGGAACGAGAGAAGTCATTATCCGTAAACGATGAAGCCAGTTTTGAAATCGTTGGATTTAATACATTAGGCTCCACGTGTTAGTAAGATTACAGTATTTTGCGTTGGAAATCATGGCACACTGCAGAAATTTAACAATGAAAACAAAAAATTCTGCGAGAATATATCAGATAATACTTAGCAAATGGTTGAGGCTTTCCTGGTAAAATTATTTTTAAACTATTTTATTTTTTTTGAGACTTCGATTTTGAGAGTTCTTCGCTTTTCATAATTGACTGCCCATACTATTTGAAATGCTTATTTATAACCACGCTTAGTCATACAATTAAATATCATAAGTGGCTATCGTGTTAATGGATGGCATCTAACACACCTCAATATAACCTATGTACAACTTTTATCATTTGGAACTAAGATTGCTGGAAAATGTCAGTTTCTTATTGTACATATGCTAGGTTTAAAGCAGTTCTGCACAACGCAAAGCTTACTTCTAATACTTTTTATTTTACATTGCATTGCTTTGCTTTTCGTGCAATATGTTTTGGAGTGTGCACCGTGTTGTTTTACTCAACTCATATTGATGCCTTACGTGATTTCCGAGTTGGCGGCAGTTTGGTACGACTCTCCCACACTTTCATGTGTATGTTGATCCATACGGGGCTGTGCATAATTTTTTTTGTATAGAAATTAAGTAACCCATTATATCTGCTTTAATTTTACTTGCTTTTCAGAAACCTGTTTTGCCTTGGAAACAAACAGTTTTTAGTATTATGAAATAGACATTTATGTCTGTTGATCCACACATTAAATGACGAACCAGTTGCATAAATAATTTTTTTTATAGTTTGTGAAATGCTTTTTTACTACGGACCGCAGTTTTGGACCTTCATTAGTTCACTTTTTATATTCGTTTTTTCTTCCCTTGCCTTTCTTTCAAGGAATGTCTTAGCACTCACATTCGACGATTATTTACCGTCAACATAGTATATGTGTTACTTTACGTACATTCATATTAAACCACATCGCGCTTTTGGTTTATTATTTTATTGTTATTATTTATTTTGCTTTATTAGATCCTCATAAACAGTGCAATCGAATTTGCATAAGGTCTGATCTTAATGAGAATCAACCTTTGTAGAAAAAATGCTGGCGTGTTGTATCACTGATTACGAAAATAAAAAGGCATGGATCTGGATTTTATGTAGGTCCTCTGCCAGGCACTGATGCTGTCATGGCCAAACCAGAAATCTGACTTTGGGACAGTCTTCTGACATGCGATCTCTAATGTCGGCTAACTCCTGATGACTTCCACAAAGAGGCTTACATTTTTAAAAAAAGAACTAACTGAAGGGCGTGAAATTATAAATTAGCCAGCAACACTGCTAAAATCTCAATCTCAATGACAAATCGCTAAGCATATTATGAAGTTTGCATATTTTTACTCTAGGATTCATGGTTTCTTCCTTCTTTGTCAGTGAAGCAATTTGCCACAAGTATGATTAATGTATTTCCATTTGAAACTGCTGTGTTTTTGTAAACGCATTTCATTTCTTGAAATTATTTATCCGTTTAGTAATTATTGTGCAATTTTTGTTAGAATGGATGGAAAAGGCCTTTCAAAAGCCCTGATCGAAGAAAACGTGCAGCTAAAGCTTTATATTGATGAGCTTAACAAGGAATGTTTAGAATTGCAGGCTGCACTTTTCGAGGAAGCCAACAAAATGGTAGGTCACCTTTGATATAATGTATTTTTTTAAAGGCCCAAGATGCCTATGCTGCCAGACACACTGCTGTAAAACGTGCTGAGGAACTATCAAAGGAAAATGGGGTATGCTGCGTAATCTAATCAAAGATTGTGTACATATTTTTAAGTCTTTCTTTTCAATGCGTATTTCATCAGGCTAGCCCTGTTTCTTCATAAGGAATATTGTTTTTCTATTAGGTTTTGAAAAACGAAGTTCAGGCTCTTAAAAGGCTTCTCAGATTGCATCAAGAAGAGAGCGCTGATGCAATTGCTGTTTGCAGGTTAGCCCTTAACTAACAGATCATTAAGCAAATATTGCTCTATCTCTATCTTTCTATTTATAGCAACCTTAACACTCCATTAATTTGTGTTTGTCATTAAATTACTCATTCGAAATGTCACTTTGCACTTGTTGCGAATACAAAATAATTTGTAAACTTGGGTTAATGTCATATGTGAGCAAATCTTACATTATGGCTATTGATGTTTATTAAAACTGATTTGTCGATTTTGCAATTGCCTTTAAGCACACTGTAAAATTTTGAGCAGTAATTCCTTAGAAAACCAACGATGCTGGAGGAAAATAACCTAATAACAGCATTTTATTATTTTTAACTCTGTTTTATCAATTACAACATTACTTCCGGATGTGGAGTTTTCAACGCGCTTAGTATCTGGAAATTTTTCGAGCAAACTATTTACTAAATTGCATAAAATAAATGCAGTTATTTCACTGCATACATCTCAGTACTTTTTTGCTTTTTTTTCTAAAATTAGAAAAATTAGTTGATTGTGGGACGCATTTGGACTGAATATGAACCCAAAGTGGACACATTCGCAGTGTGTACCACAACTGTTTAATCACAAACAAACGTTTCTTATGTTGGTAGTGATGTCTTACTATTATAAAGAGTTGGTCAGCGTTAAAACATCTTTCTGCCTTTTTGAGATCTTTCAAAGACTTATAGTCATCGAGAAATATCTCGTAGCCAGGCTACAAGCCCCTATCCCATTGACTTTCTAAAAAATTGATTACCTACGCCCACATTAGATCGGTATCGGGGGTATCTTCAAGGTCAGAGGTGTTTTCTGAAGTAAATGGCAAGAGTGCTTCCTCACGACGTCTGAGTCTCCTTAGGAGTGCCACAACTAGCCTCCCACCGACAGGCGTCTCTGCAGGGGAGATGGACAAGGACAGATTCCTCTCCACGTCCACTTCCATAATCAATGTGACCTCACAGGAACCTGTCACTCGGAAGTACCTTCTTGAGGCACTTACGTCTGGTGTCTCTTGCGCCGACAGCATTGGGGACAAGCATTACCAGGTGAGTGGAATGCGCATTATATTTTGCATAAACATGTACCGACAATTTTACCATTATTTTTTCACTTTTCTCACTGTTTAGTCTCTGATAAACCAACACTAGGTCACTGCATCGGGAACTTGATGCTAATTTAATGCGAGTTGCCACTTCCGCTTATTGAAATCCCACCATTTACGAGTGTTCTGTTATGCACTTCGACGAGGCCTTCTTTCTGGTTACTTAAGCTAAACTCATTAGTGGACGGTATGATTATTTAAATTTTGGATGCTCTTAACCATTTTTTTGTTAAAAGTATGCTCTTCCAACAGACGACATGCCCAAGGGCTAAATTTAATGCCAATCACTTTTATATAAAAAATCACGACTTAGAAATTTTGTTTACGTTTATCGGGTTACTTGGCTATCACCAGCTTTCAGCAACTCATTTCACTTCTTTTGGGTTGTTAAATTGCGCAAAAAGTCTAAATCAAAAAGGTCCATTAAAAAAGTTATTTTGGTTGTCACGAAAATTATGGTTACATTGGCTGTGAGGTAACGTTCCACTGACCACAAGGTCGTTCATTTAACACTCACTTGAATCTTGGTTAAAGTACACTTTCGATCGAAGCAGATGAACTTTCATACCATCATAACTGTTTGCTTGTTTATTTGCCTTGTATCGTCGCTTGAAAAGTGCTTTTCCCATTAGTACTCATTTCAGACAACCTTATCACTGTCTTAACTCCTTCATATGTTTACACTCTTAATTTCCGAAACTGGACATTATGCTGACCTAGGATCTTGTGATGTTCACATCACGTCATGCAGCTGGCGTTGAAAAATGTGGTGGAGTCGTTTCAGCTGATTTCGTTCCGCGCTTTGCCGAGACACCAAATTGAATAGTAAATGGATCGGAAGAATGTTCAACCTTCTAATGATTAACCATGAGTTGGTACCACACCCTCACCGTATTTGTCCACTACTAAAGCACCGGGATACTTCAGTATATGCGCCTTCTAAATTTGCATCAGAACTATTCAATTTACTTGAGAGGAAATTCGGCAAAATGTCTGTTAATCTAGGCGACGAAATAGTTATTAGCGCGCTACAATAGGTCAGTAGTTCAACTTTGAAATGATAAGCATTGACTTGGAAACAAAGATGGCATTGAATCATTCCCACCATAAATTAGTGAATTCAAACTGGTCCGTTTTCATGGCCAAGTTTTGGAACAAGTAGGTGATGCAACGATGAAACCCATTCCTCAATTATCTAATCCAGGGACCATGACTTCAACATGTCGATCACTATGCGCAGTGTATCAGTGTAGCAACCGGTTTTTTTCCTATCCACCCAAAGCTATTGTTACAATGATTTGCCTTTTTTCAAGTTGTTTGCGCATTATATTTAAATACCTTTGCTGGTCGGTGCCTTCCATTCGCTTTTTGTGTACTACGAAAGACTTTTAAATGGCTTGCATGCCTTTCCAGTCAATAGTCACACGTGAATTCTAGTGCCAATCGCAGGTAGAAATCACAGCGTGTTCTAGTTTCCAAAGTCTTTAAACTACTACAAGGACTAAATGGTTTTGAGAGTTTGTCTGGAGAGAGTAATTTTTAAACTAGAAATGTTTGGTGTGGATGGTTATCTGACACCCAAAATAAAGCTCCAGTCTAAGTGATTAACCTCGGCTATACTCTCTTGACATTACGTGTTTTTTTTGGAGTCAAAAAACGGTCATTTAAGAGTTAAACTGAACAGGCGCTTCCCTCATTACTGCCACTAATCATGGAGGGCATCCTTCGTTATCCAAGCCAGATTTGATGTTTGCTTGCTCCTTCACCTACACACATTAGTTGCCTTTTTTCTACATGCCTAGTAAATGCATGCTTTCTTGAAAACATAATTGCTGTATTAAATTTACAAATAACTAGTACAACCAAGTAGTTGGGCTGGCGAAGACCCGCGTCTTTAATCTACGTTGGTACTTAATGAGTTTTACGGTCCTACATTCCTACACCGCACTTTCTTAAACATTTTAAAAATTGAAGGCCTATTCTGTAGGCTTCGCTCTCACCTGCAGTTCATTTAACGTGTGAATATTTTGTTCGTGAAAGCTTAGTTCGTCTGACACCGTTTGAATGAATCGCACGTCTCCCTGGAATTAACCATGGATGAGACCTTACATCGAAGCAGTGGCTTGTCTAACGCGTTGGTTCATTAAATTGGTCATGTTTTAGTCCCATTGGTGTGTACTTTTAGTTACGCTTACTGCATTATTCCCCGTTGAAGGGCAGTGAAGGTGGCTGAACCTTTCAATATCCACTGCTTCCACATTTTCACTGTTTCTGGGTGCCTTCTCACAAAGTCCAGCTTGTGATTACGCAAACCGCCTAAAAATAGAAGCCACAACGCTGCTTTTGATCAGTCTCTTTATGTCATTTAAATGTAGCCTTTTTACTTCGCTTATGATCTGCACCACTTAGCCTAAACTGAATTGTGTGGCAACTAAATTTAGTTTTGGCAATCACCATGTCCAAGAACACTGTAATTTTTATACATAACGCTTCACTTCCGTGGCAATTTTTGACTGTAATATTTTCCTTTTTAATGACACCATGCAATAGCGTCAATTTAGCAATTAATTGTGAAGTATTGCTACAGCACCACCTTTGCCAACTGCAGTTGATATTTTGTGATGCTTGGAAAGTCTCCTTATTTTGTAGCAAGACATGCGGTTGTGCCTGCTCTCAAGAACTCGGCAATGTTAATAAGGAGTTTTTTTTGACGTAATTAGTAACTTTGGCAAATGCCGGCTGTTTCAGCATCACGTCATGTCACAAATTGTATTTACACGCCGTAAAGCTGCTATTGACTTATAGCACAGCCATCTGCGTAATGGTTTGGCTAAATATTCAACGTAACTGTTGACTTATCCAACTTTTTTCTCTGCTTGAAGTCACATTCCCCCGCATTAACGAGTCTGCATACAGACGAAAATAGTTGGATGAAATTTCTGTTGGGATATTGTGCATGTCCAATTGTCGTTTCCGTATTGATTACCAATGATGTATGTACGAGTTACTTTAAACCCTAATTGGACAAACAAAGTTATAGGTTGTACACCTCACAACAAACGCTATTGGCAAGGGACGCTGTGTTCAATAAGCCAACATATGACTCTACCACTTACAAGTGCAAGCATGGTTACAGTTCCTTCAATTTAATCTAGAAAATCGGTGTAAAGCAGTTGCTTTTACGAGTCCAGTAGCGAATTTAGTTAAAAATACAATAATTTTGAAAAAGTCTGCTACAAACAGTTGTAGTCAGCTATTGGTTATTTATGTATTTATTTTCATGAATAAGACATTTGTTTTTTTCTACCATCCGATATTCCCGTTAACCTGACATTGCAAACTGCCACTTTTTTATAGTTAATCTTATAAGTCTGCGAGTCGGCCATTTAGCTATGCTTCTATTGCTTACGTGAGAATTACGGTGAGGTTAAACATTCATTGGAGCAGCACTGTGTATCAAAGGTGCGATTCTTGCTCGCACACACGTCTCAACTTATGTTAATCAACTGTGCGAACGGGTTGCTGTGCAGGTCGCTGTGTCCTTCAAATATTAGCCCATACCTAAAGCGACATGTGTATGAAGGAAATTGAGTTAACTGGTTCAATCCAAATCCACTCAAATACTTTCGTTTAGAACAGCTTAAAATGCTCGTGTTGGCTCACCCTTGCCAAATGTGCAGTACTGTAGGGGATGAGTTGATGCGCATTGCGATTTCAGTGCCTCTTTCTCGATCAACGTGGTTGCTCACGTGAGTCTCGTGACTTCGAAACACCAGAGGAGCACCCACTCTCAACTTAATTGTGTGGAGAACCTTCGGAACGTGAACTTTGCCCGATTGGCTACACTGAAATTTGGTCTTTAAGAGAGCATGGACAAAAAAGCACACTCGTCAGAAGCCTTTTAGTCGCATAAGTGAACGTACTTTTCACATGATGAAGGGGCCATGTGAAACGACCTCAAGAATCGCTCTTACCCATGCATATGTGTAAAAATGCATTTTCACTTGTATTTCGAAGTTAAGTCATTGCTTCATTGCAGTGATATGAATTTAAAGTAGGACCGATCCTACTCGGCCACACTCCGAATTGCCTCAAACTCTTTCTGAGTGCTGTCTCAGTGCGTAAACGGTCTTCGGCGTTTCTTTGTGTCAGCGATCAGTTGAACGGCCACAGAACTGTCTCCTGCACGTCTGAAATTGAAGAAACCCCACGCTATAAGTTGACATGCTCTCTCCCACGGGCCATGCCTACGTAAAAGTAGGGATTATGTCTTGTCCAGCACAATGTCAATTACGTCCTCTGCGGGGTTCTTCACCAAATCATCTCACCCGCTGTGGCACAAGAATTAAATTCCAGGTTTTCGCGTAAATGCTTCCTTCACTTGTGAAGTACTTTCATGCAAGAAATACTCCCAGCACATTAACGATCCCTCTCGCAAAGCTGCCTATATTACGATATGGTCCCTTGAACAACTCGATTCACTAATAAATTACGACGAAAACAATGCTTGATAATATGTGTAGGCTGATGCTTTAAAACATTGAGGCATGCGCTATGAAAAATCAGAGTATTAAAAATTAACAGTTTCGTCCAAAATCAGGTTAGGCGCTGCCAGTTACAAGATGCATCCTTTACTGGTGTATATTTGTATTAAAGAACCCCCACTGGAAGATTTAGTTTACTTTTTTTAAAAATGCTGAGTTCGTCAAAGTCCTTTTTCACCTGCACTCCAAACGAGACATGCTTGTGCATGTCACTTACAACCGCGAACTAGGTCCAAGTCGATAGGCAGAGTCGTAAACAACGTGTGCGCTGCGAGACCTCTCCGAGTGATGTGTTCAGCGTTTGCAGATTTACGTGCGCTGCATGTGGTCGTAGTTTAGCCCGAAGAGACACCTTTTCATGGCTTTTGGTCGATGCAGAGCTGGACTAGGCAAGTCTTTTGTGCTATTTTTCCAAGGCTCTCAGAGAACGTCGTGGATATTCTTACTCAAACCATCTTACCTTCAGTAATATTCTTCTAACCACTTTCCTTTGACTCGTGTAACGTTAAAATTGCAATGCAGACATCACTAGTGTGGTTGAACATGACCTTTTGTAAATAATATTCGGGTATTTTTTCTTCTTTGTGTCCCCTATAACTTATCTACGTAAAGATTTCTGCTATTAAACATTTGAAAAATCACATATTAAGAACTTCGTACATACTAAATGATCATAAAACGTGTGAATTTGAGGTAATTGTTTCCTTGGTTGTGACTAAACCATCTGAGATCTCACACCAGTCACTGTAATTAAAACGAGGAAATGTGCTACCTTCATTTAAATAACCAACTTCTGGTGACCAGTCAACCCCGAAATATCTTGATTGGTCTGTGCATTGCTAATAGGTGCTGGTGAGTCTGGTGTGGGTAGGTCTAGCTTACACCTCAGCCGCGTCGCAATAAGTCCACCAAGGAATCAAGGTGTAGTGATTTTGTCTAAGAATCTATCATCACTGCCTCTTTGGAGGAAAATTTCACTTTAACTAGTACCATTGCGTAGAAACTGGTCAAAATTCCTGAATGGTTATATTGGCAAATGTAAGAGATCTCAGCTATCGGAAATGTCTGTGGGCGTGGCATTTTTGCTCCACGATTATCAGCCCTGTAACTAGACTAAAGTTCTGCGATTCACACCTCCCGAACCGCATAAAATGAGCCGTTAGTGCTTATATTTGGCCCTGTTTAGTGGCCGAAAATTTGGTTGACTGGGTTTGTCTTTTCTGGGATCTTGGTCGAATTTTAGTCTTAATTTATCCAGCTTCCAATCATCTATTCAACCAGTATAGACTTTGAAGTGGAATAGACTCCATTTTTGAGATTCTCCATCTTTAATCAACTAAAATCAAATGATAACGATGACGTATTTACTCGTATTCGTTCAATTGCTATTTCACTGTCTTCCCATAAGACAGTATAAACTATCAACTGCTCAGTCAACATAACCGCTATCGAGCTACTCAGCCAATCACCGTGTTATTGATAAGGTGTGAACTTCAGCTGTGATTACGACGGTTACAAATCGCCTTAGAACCTTGATTTACCGCACTGTCGTATGACAATGATCACGTGTTCCTCTTGCCTACCTTCAAGTTGTGGTCTACACACAGCAAGTGCTAGGTCAGCGGTTCTACGAAGTAAATTTTATGGTAGACGATGAAAGTATCTGCACTGGTGCTTTCGAGCTGCAATTCGACTAACATTTAGTTGTGTTTTATTTTACGTGCGATTGAATCATGCACGCTATCAGTTAGGTGATAACTGACTTTTCAGTCTCGCCAACAGATGTTTTGCAAACCTAAAAAACTGCACGCAAACCCCAGGGGACTATTGTCGCTTATACACTATCTGTGGTATCTGACCTTTCCATTACATAAACACTGAGACGTTTTTATGCATCATAAAACTTGATGGATATTGTCTTGTCGCGACACTCGCCATTAACGGTGTGTCCACGAATAATCGAGAACGGTTATAAGCAGCCAAATCACGTCTCGATTGAGTGCTCCTTACCTTACGGCAAATCACTTCCAATTTAGCCAGCGTCTCTGAGGCGTATGCACGCAATTTTTCAATATTCATATGCTTCTGACGCTGTGATAAAAATCAAATTTAACTCAAGGCTCTTTACACTGGAACTTCTAGATTCGGAAGGGTGCGTTGTATATTCTGAAATATATTTGATCGTTCATACATGCACCGTTTTGATTCAAAACGCTCATCCAACTTCCTGATGTCCTTAATGTTTTCCCGTTTCATTAAGAATAGTATTAACCATTGAAACCCCTCTTATTTCGATACTTCACTGAATGTCAATGCGCATAAACCAGGTATTTAGCCAGGAAGTTATTTGGGGTGTGGAATATAACGTAAAACTCGTTTTTCGGGGAGGCAGAAACTTTATTTAGTCAAAATAATTTTTCGCCGACTTTTTGCCGTCGTCGTAACAATTTCACGAATTTGAGCTCTCAATGTGTTTGTTTGTTATCACCTGAGATCTGAACCGCGTCCTGCCTCGGGTATCGGTTTTAGTAAAACGCTAATCCCTCAAAAATGCTTGGTGCAAGTTCAGGATTAAACGCGACCACAGTACTACTTTCTAAGCAAATTTTAGTAGCTTCCATGGGTCACTAAACTTGTGTGAGACATTGCAGACTTGGTGAAATACGATTCCTTTGGGACTTGCCAGGAGTGAAACGTTTTTTTCTGGGGTTCCTAATCCCCTTTGACAAAAGCCACTTTATTTGAAAGCGTCATTCCCTGGGATCAGCTAATAATACACCACATAATTTAGTTCCCCCAAATTTATTTTGGTTTAATCGCTATCTACTACAATAGGTGGATCAGCACACTGAAGGACCTACAGAACACAGTTTTTAAGTCAAAGTCTAACGCCTTCATTCTGTGAAGCATTTAACACCGCATACCTCACATTTCTCTTTGTAAGAGTTAATGGGATATCTTACCTTTAGCGAAAGTTATAAAAAATTGTCAAAACTATCAGTCTAAATTCGACCCTGGGTAAATCCGCAATAACCTTCTAAAGTAAGCTGCGAGCAGCGTCTATCAAATACAAGAGAAACACGAGCCCACATTGACAGACGTCTTTCACTCTACTCACAACGTTCCCCTTTGTGGGAACCAAACTCACTGCCTTAACAGGCCATGATTGTTGAAATTCCTTCCAGTTTATTCTTGTCCCAATAAGCCATACCAGTGTCCTGTTTGTCAAAACGTCCACACGTTCACTTACCTCTGCTCATTTTCTGGGGTCGAACTCGAATTCTTCAAATGCCACTAAAACCACTTCAAGTGACTTGTGTAAATGGCCATAAACAGCTAAATTTCAGAAATTGAGGCGTCTGCGCCTTAGAAAATTTACATTGATTGCATTAAGAAGTCCTGAGTGGCAGGTATTTCCAATTGCGATCTCCGGTTAGATGTTAATATTTGGGAAGCAATTTTGGCTCAAAATAAGCTCCAGATACTAATTTAAAAGAGATTAATCGGCGACTTCCTGATCGAGAGTGAAATACGCCAAAGGGTTAGGGCTAGCTGTTGATTGATTCGTAATGAGTGTGTGTATGTTGCACTTCACGATACCCTATCGAAGGTAATCAACTCCTGGCGCAAGGACCTCCTCACATGTGACATTCTTAAATAGGCCTTTTTTTTACAACGCTACGATCGTTTACCGGCATGATCTCGAGTCTGTTCAGGGAAATTATCCTTTCGTCATTATGTTCCACATCTTTTCTTTGTTACTACTCCTGCTGATTTACCATGGGACCTAAATTATTCCGACCAAGCCACCCCGTCAATTGTAATGACAATTAATCTGGAGTAGTCATCCCCAACGAATCATTTCTCAGGGTCACGCTTAATGCTTATAATGGCAAATTTTAATACTTTGTTGCTCCTTGGTAAAATGGTATGCGGATGTTTATGAGGGGCTGGTAATAAATTGTTTAGCGACTCGTCATAGCTGGTGAGTCTGGTGTTTTTCGATTCCAGACGGAAACTCAAGTCTGCGATCTTGCACTTGCTTAGCGCATACACGATGTCGGAGAGCCAATGAAGTAAGCAAATAACACTTTGCGGGGTCTAGAATGTTCATCACAAAAAAGTCAGATCAAAATGAAAATTGTAACTAGTAAATCCCAGATATTTAGGATAAATTTGACTGCTAGAGACGAATATGTGGCACTTACAAGTCTCACAATTGTTTTCTACATACGGAGGCTTTTAAAACAGCCCTAGATCATTTCCAGGCGAAAAACCGAAGGATCATAATTAGGGCGTTGCTTACGTCTAAAAAGTTCTAAAATTGTTTGGTCTGGATAACCACTACATTTTCGGCTGTCTAAGAAGTTAATTCAAAACTTTGATATTTATGGGATTAAAATTTACCCTTGGAATTTTAAAACATCAAACTCATTTACACCGACTAATTTCTGCACACCAAATTTCACCACACGTGATGTATTTTTTTTAACTTTGAGGAAGTACACATTTCCCTAATTGTCTGCTCCTTCGTTCAATTATTCAGTCTTTTCTTGTGCTATACAACGGAGAACCACGAACCTTTTGTGTTTCTAAAAACCTGAGGTTCGAATATGTAACAAGAGCTGGTATAAATCTTCAAAGCGCATATATATCCTTGCTTCCTTTAGGTGTGGTCTGTGTTATTTACGGCGCTGTTGTGTATGCATTTGTTCAAATTTCAGGAATTTATCGACTGGGTGGACGGTGGATGTTACATAAACTGGTGCGACAATGCATCACTTCGAGGTGCTAAAAGGCAATCAATCGGTGTGACCTTTGCCGGCCTCCAGTCTAGACAGCGCACAGAGTCTGACGTGGGGGACATAACGCTGCCCTCGCCACCGCAAGCCTCCTCACCCCCCGGCACCACATTCCTTCCCCCTCCTCCTCCCTCCCCCAAGGAGCAGGCATTCTTCTGGCGAGTAGTCGACGAAGATGTCACCCCGGCACTGGACTTTGCCGACTCGGCCATCTCCAAGTCACTCTGGATATCGCTCAGTCATCTTGGAGTCGACATGGAGCCCTTATCCGCCTCGGACACACCCCTCGATGAATGCTGTCCGCTTGTGCCAAGTCACAATGTCAAATTCAGTCTCAAACTCCTTGTAAGATTTGTGTAGACCTTGCTTCAAATATGTTGTTTGTCCCAACCCAGTGCATGATTTTAATTGCCGTTTAGAACTAGGGTTTGGCTTAAAACTGCCTATGCGGTTGCTCTGACAGGTTGCTCTCCTTCGTGAATGTAAAGGATTGCCAGGATCACCGCCATCATCAGCTAACATTGAGGTTTATCGAAGTTCTGATCGTAAATGTAATAATCCAAGATTGAAGCTCAATGACCGCCTACGACACCAACTAGTCCCCTTGGTCAGGTGTCACACCAACTTGAAAAAAAGTTCGCCAGTTGCATTGCGATTACACATGTGTGTGTGTCTGTGGTTTGATGCACAGTAATTTTTACGGCACTTCATTAGGAGGTACCGTAGGAGAAACCAAGGAGATTACGTTCCTTTTTAGCTGAATGTTTTACAGTTTGCCACCTTTTTGAATCACTAATTCGGTAGCTAAAAGCTCCCTTTAAAAGACCTCGCTAGTAGAAACACAAGCCCAAGCTTAGGTACATGCAGTTACACGATCATACATTCAACCCCCACAACATACTTTATCACTCAGCGCAAATCAGTGCAAAAGGGTGGTCCGTGCACTTTTCTTCATCCTTCCTGCACAGTAGGGTCTTGAATTCGTCACGAAATGGGTTAATGGCGTCAGCACCACATGTCCGTTGATTCCTCCTTCAAAGGGCAGAGCTACTGACAATCAGAGAGCTCGTTGAGGATCTTACCAACGGTCCAATCGGTAAACCGGCTAAGAGGCCTGCTTAAACTCAGTTATAAGAGAACAGCTTAGTAAAGGAAACATAGGCCCCTTGTTAAAACTCTCTTTGGACACCCCAAATTTTGAGACTTGGTTTTAGGCGTAGGCGGTTCCACCCTTCAGCTTTTTTCCTTTCGCTTCATTGCTAGGAAGCAGGGAGCACTTTGACACGTTGAGTTTGAATGTGTCGACACGTTTCGGATCGTACTGTTTCGTCAGACACATTGCATCATGTTTGTTTTCAAACAGGTGTGTGTGTGTGTGTGATCTAGTAGCAGCAGAATAATAATGCTTTAATCTGTCGGCAAAGATTTGGTTGGAAGACTAACCCCTCAGTTTTGCCAGCACACTGACCCTGTTTGATGTTGACGAGCGGTGGAAAGTTTTGCAATGAGACGCGTGAACGAAGAATCGCACTGACTTGGGTTAGCGGTGCCGGCGCCAATGAAATCAACTCCTTCAATTTTGCAGAATACTCTAACTGAACTTATTAACATAGCACCATGTTAGCTAAGTGAGAAATTTTGTTAACATAGTTACTCATATCCAGACTGAAATTCTTCTCCTTAAAGATTTTTTTTGGAATTTAAGACACGCAAAATTTGCACGACTTTTGGTTCTCTCAGGGCTCTATATACCGCAGTTGCTTCGAGTGTAATGTTCTAAAAATCATGGTAAATATTATAGAGCATCTAGAAATACTATCAAGTTTGCCAGCACAAAATTTATGGTTCCCATCCAAGCCCTCCGCGATTGTTTTTTTTAAGTTTTCATTGGTGTCTGACCAATCAATCAACTGAAGCCACCACGACTTACCAATCGCGTCCTGTCTTAAGTAAGGGGCGTCTTAACTTCAGATATGTCTGACAAGTTTGTGGGTAATAAATCGAACTTCTCTCTGCATACATTTAAAGCAGTACTTATATTTCCCCCAGAATTTTACCGTACGTGCTTGATTTCTCTTCAAGCACGCCAGTATTATTATAGTTGAAAAAAATCTTCCTGGAAAAACTCATTAAACTTGTTTTAAATTGCACGCGGGCCGGCCATTTGCACACTTTATAATGCACTGCACACGTGGTAGTTACCTGCTGCAGGATCTAATGTAAACAGGACCAGCCAAGCCGCACGATTTATTGTTGTGTAATTATTGATGTGCGCGCCCTTGCGTTCTCATGCAATGTGGTGACCTTTGTCTACTAATACGTGTACGATAGTCTTCGCGAGTTTTGGCTGAATCCGCTGACACCGGTGAACGTTGTCGGCAACAAGACCGCCTTCTTTGTGCGGTAACAATTTTACTTTCTCTTTGAGTGTGCTTCAGGAAATAGCCATCAAGTCAAACCAGACTGCATGTGAAACAGCTGATGTGCAGGTAAATCAACTGATTGCTTGGAACTCGGGTGTCGATAACTGGGACTTGTTAAAAGCCAATTCTGGGAAAGGAGACAGGTTTGGTGGTCTACGAACCATGCTTTTTATGAAAACTTGACGGACTCACATCAGATTTCAAAGTTCGCCGCTATCCTTCCCCTTTCCTCATTGTTTTTCGACTCCTAGGTAGTGCACAATGACGGATCGACTACACGGGAGTGTTACAACATATCAGCTTATGCACGTCAACGGATTGCCGCGGTGGCTGACCTGTTCCAGTACCTCACGCTTATTCGACGAGGTCTGACAGGAACCCCCACCACTCCAACCAACCAGTCCCCTTCGAACTCCCTCAAGCTCGGGTCGAGAACAAGTTCGACTTCGGACCCTGTAATTGATCAAACACGCCGGCACCAGTTTGAGAACGTTCAACGACGCCGCCTGGCTGTTACATTATCTCGCCTCGGCTATGGTCTGCCTCTTATGGAGTAACGGGAACTGTAAATAACTGTAATTGTGCAGTCTTCCATGTCCACCACGACCCAACGCGGTGGTGACTTAGTCTTTCATTCTGCCTTTTTACAAAAGACCAAGGATATTTGTTTAGCTATATCGATTAGGTGAAGAAACAGTCTCAATGAGCATTTTTATTACTTCGATTTTTGTCTGTGTGTAAACAATTTAAGTAAAAGCAACGAACTTTCAACCAACCGGATGCTCTGCCTCGATAGGATTTTAAATTTGCTGGTTTAACTCAGCTTAATCATCCCAGTTAAGCATTCAACTTACTAAAAGCGACTTATATTTGAGTTGTAAATTAGACTTGCATGATTAATTTTGCTGTTACTGTATGATTACGCTAAGTCAACTGCCCCATGTGCAGACTATGTTTGTCCTAATATGACGCAGCAAGTCTAAAACCAAAAGCATTGCTATATACAAGTTATACAAACTTGTAATTTTGTTAAAACAGTTAACTAGTGATTAGTTCTGCAAGCAGTCATACGTATAGGTCTGATGGACACAAGAAGTATAAGTCATTAAGTAAATAAAAATGATTTAAAAGGAGGGAAGTGGAAATGTTTTCCGTTTTCCGAATCCCACAATTTGGTTGAATTACCTGGCCAGAAACAATATTTTAGTTAATATCTGATTTAGAAAATACCTCGAAAATAGTGTTCAATAGTGAGGAATAGTGAGATTAATGTGAGCTGAATTGTTGAAAATTCCATCATGAGGAAACTAATGATGGTAAATTAAGGTTAAGTGACAGTTTGGGCACTTTTGCGTAAATACAATCGAAAACTAATGTTAACACCAAGAGCGCTATATGGCCTTGGTATAGAAGTTAAAAAAAGTTATTTAAATAAATTCGTTCAAAGTATTAGATTGACATTCTCGAAAACCTTGCTTAAAAATGCTAATTTCAGATGCCATGGTGGTATGGTGCATTACGACTAGCAAAACAGATGCAGAGGGTCGAATGCGAAATTAAATAGATTTACCACAGCGATCCCCAGCCAGTATTTGGTGAAAATGGTAATATTTGCCAATTTTCACAAACACTAACTCCTACCCACGCACTTTACTATCTTGAACATATTAACGTGTATGGTAACGAGTCGGGTTCCCTTGTTTACTTTGCCTTCATTGAGCCCAACTAAGGCCCCAGTTCCTCATGGGGGTTTCAAAATCATCTTCACCTTTTTGGGTGGTCTTCGAAGTAAAAAATAGAAAATAATTGCCAAACATAATTAATTGAATTGTTATATACTTTCACTCTCCCATTTCGTGTCTGACTACTTCTAACCGTTAGATTATTAATTCAAAAGTAGGATACGCAAGTGCTCGGAAGGATCAAAGTGTCCAAATGTGACTACTATACAGGTGTTTAAGTTAATTCGGTGATTTGACGTCGTTGCAATGTAACAAAGAGCAGGTTTATCCGAGCTACGAACAGTTAGTTTAGATCCTTTGTTTTAATTCACACAGATCTGTCAGTATAATACAATAAAATCGTGCTCAAAGATAAAAAAAAATCAAATACATGCTTGAAACTATAAGTAATGAGAGTAAATTTAAGAATAAATTTATAAAGTAAATATTGTCATAATTATTGACCCAAATATGTATAGATAAGCGGTTGTCGTAATGAAAATAGAAAATTTATTTAAAGCTTATATGAATGGTTGGACAAATGCAAAGGTGATTAATTTCAATTAACAACTAATATTGATAGCTAAAATTATAAGAAAACAGGGGATCTTACCCATGTGGTTGTCATCAGTTTCATGCTCTCAGTTTCTCGTTTTCGTAGTTAACAATAGTAGTGAATAATATTCACTAGGCTTGTCGAAAAATTATGTGGTATCGGCAAAACACATTTAATTGTTGTTGATTCATTTACACGTCAATTTCCTTTTGAGCAAAAGTGCATTCACCATCAAGTAATAGTGACACTTTTTCTAAGACGGATTTAGATCAGTTGTGATTCGCTGTTTCTATTATTAATTAATTTTTATTATTAAACGGAATGAACTGTATTTTAATAAACTTCTGGCTAAGTGCTTATCCTTCGTGCTAAAATTAAAAACACAATGATTGCTATCTTTTTAGAATGACAGTCGTAGTTCTGATCATATATAATTGCATGGTCTCGAAACATTTAGAAAAATTATTATTGTGAATCGTGGTAAGTGTATTTTAAGAAAGTGTGATCTAAATCACTACAAGAAGAATGCGTTCGTTAAAATCCTTATTAATATTAGGAAATACGTGATCTAATTATCTATTTAAGTATACTGTTCAATATTTATAAACCTTATTTCAATAAGAAAATTGATATTAATTTTGACACTGTCGAACGCAAAATGCACACACAAACACACAGCAAGCAGTGAACCATTTGCCACATTTTTGACGATATTGTTAATGACGTTAATGTTTAGGGTTAAAAAGTTGAGATTATTTTAGTTAATTCACGCACGCTTGCTTATATCCTGGAGCTAACGCCTTGTAATTAGCCAATCGCGAAAGGGTGCGGATAATTCTGTGTAGTATCTGTGTTATGGCGTGCTCCTTAAGAGAACGCAAAATTGGTACGTCACACTTGCCTTCGTTGTGATATTAAATTCCTATTCCTTCTTTTAATAGTAATATTAATTACTTGTAGTATTTCATTTACAATGCACTCTAATATATGCTCAAAGCTTGTGACTTTGATAAGTTAGAATACATGTTTCTTATCTGCTCTACAAAGTGCACACTTTAGTCCCCCTAGAAATGAATATTTGTAACTTTTATACTGAAAACGCGTTTTAGAAGTGGACTGCCTTTTTACCATAGAAAATAACATGGTCGTGAAAAACGTGTGTATCATTTCAAATGTAATTATTTGGGCGATTGCTGCATTGTATTAACTTCTGTGTTAGCCATACTTGAACATCGGTATACCACAGCATCAATTATCAATGTGCTTTTTGTTGCTGGTCGGTAGATATACTGAAATACCCTGGATTAGAAACCATTGAAAAATTTATAACAAAGTATTTAGTTAACATCTAAAACCATTTAAATTATACATCTTGTCTTTCATTCTGACTGGTCGTTTATTTTTAGTTTAAATGTATTTTAAAAACATACTGAAGTGTTTTATTTTTTGCGTACAGTGTATCATGGTCGAGCTTAATCATGTCGGCTCTTTTGTCCCGATTACTGTCGTTGTATTGCTTAATCTAACTTTTGAATTCTAATGTTTACGTGAGTGATTATTGATTGTTTTTGTCATTCATTAATCTATATTGACCGATGTGGAAGCATTAGTATCGAAGAAATGTGTGTAAGGTTTCTTAATTTTCCAACAACAGGCTTCATTGGGAGTTCTTCTTTTAGTCACGTCATCTGGAAGTATGCTTGAAATCGTTTCATTCACCGTCTAAACAAATAATTAAAATAATAGTTAGTAAACTATTTCGTCCAAGCTGTGTCCCCTGGATCTCAATTTGAGTTTTCGGTTCTCATTTAATTGCATTTTGATTAAAATCCATGACAGCGGTTTTTTAAATTTTTTTGATGAATTTGGTGTCTGCCCCAAACCTGAAGGGCCAACATGTTTCATCTTGGAAGTTATTGTGGCAGTAACGGTATTGTCGTTTTTTGCCTTATTTTTAGAGGCTTTGAAATGCATGCTAAATTTCAATACTGCAGAAACCAAAGGTGATGAACCTCAGTGGAAGGTAAACAGTATCGTCAATATCATGCCTTCTCAAATTTTATAGCTTTTGATATATGATCGAATCGGACAGGATATAATTGCGCCTTTATTTTCCGTAAAAGATCTTCGTTCCCTCGGCGTAACGCTTCATTTGTATGCTCTCTTTCGTTATGATTTACCCTCAATTCAGACTTCTTGACGTTAAACGAGAACCTATACCAGATGTCCCGGCAGTTTATTTTGTTTATCCATCGAAAGAAAACGTCAGGCGTATTTGTCAGGTTTGTTTTCTGCCCCCCTAACCCATGCCTAGGACATCGAAGCAGATCTCTACTCGTTTTACTACCTCAATTTTATCTGTCCTATCTCACGGGAGAATCTCGAGATTCTCGCAGAAACCGCGGTGGCGGAGGATTGCATACAACGCATAAAGAAGGTTTATGATCAGTACACAAAATTTGTTTGCTTGGAGGATGATTTGTTCGTCCTTAACGAGCTTCCATGCAATCAAGAGGGGACTTTCTTTGGTAAATATTATCACTTTAACCCAATGGTTAATTTTTAAATTTTCTGAGTTCCTAATTTTCCCCTCCCAGCCCTCAATAAGACGTCATGCACAGAAGAGGATATCGTAAAGACAACTAGTTTCATTGTGGACGGCCTCTACTCGGTTTTTGCAACGCTTGGTTCAATTCCAATAATCCGATGCTCTCGGTTTAACGCGGCAGAAGCGGTGGCAAAAGATTTGGACGCCAGGTTCCGTGACAGTCTTCGGGACGCCAGAAACACCCTCTTTTCGGGGAGGGATCATCGCAGTTTCGGAGAACAAAATGGAAAGAGTGCCACCTTAGTTCCATTCTCGTTCCAACGTCCATTGCTAATTATACTGGACAGAGGCATAGATATGGCTACTCCCTTGCATCATCCTTGGACTTACCAAAGTCTACTTCACGATCTTGTGGTGAGTATTTTAATCCTTGTTTTGCGAGTACTGACCTTACCTCGTTGCATCACCGGAATGTTTCCTTCCTCTTTTTTGACTTTGTACTTTCAAAGCACACGTTTTTTTTAAAAAAAATTATTAAGTCAGTGAAATTGATTAGATTTAGTGCATGCTTTCTCGTTTTAGAGCGCAAACAACTTGTGCACTCTATTCGTATTCGTGCCTTTAGGGTATACATTTGAACCACGTGGAAATGCCCGCCCAGCCCTCGGGCGATGTACCTGATCCTCGTCAGTCGAAGATGAAGCGCTACGACCTGTCTGCGGCTTCTGACCGCCTCTGGCGAGCCCACCGCCACTCCCCGTTCGCAGAGGTCGCTGGCGCGCTCCAGGAGGAACTCAGTGTCCTGCAGGACCGTGAAAAGAATATTGGCGCGCTGAAGGCCTCAGTAACTGACGGGCAGTCTTTTGGCAATGGACTCGCAGCTTCCGGCACTGATGCCACATCTGCTCTGACAAGCACCATCAAGTTAGTCACTGTAATTTTTACAAAAAGTAGAAATCTAAAGTAGCTGTGAAGGTAGTCTCATTCATCCACTAAATCGACTTCGGCAAGAACTCCAAGACTGATCACTGGGCGCCCACTGTGCACTCATGCTGTTTTATTTTCAGCACTCTACCCCAGTTGATGGAACAGAAACGACGTTTGGACATGCACATGCACATCGCGACGTCACTGGCTAAGGAGATCAAAAACCGCCAATTGGACTTGTTGAATGACGTTGAAGAAAAGCTGATTACTCTGCAGTCACTCCAGGTAATCCAATTCGTGAACATTCAATCGGGCTGTAACGCGTGAGATTTGTAGAACTCTCACTATGTACATGTCGTTGTTGTGTGACTGCGGAATGCTTACTTGTTTAGCGGGTGTTATTTCAGCCGAAAAATACCTTAGCCTTCGTCTGAGCGCATCCCTTAGGGTGCTGTAATGCCATTTAAAGTGGACAGTTTTCCTCTGTGTAAATTAACTAGATTATGGTCATAGTTTGGCACTCCCTCATCCAAACTGGTGTTGCCACTTTCTGTAATGGTGGGAATTTCGCTTCCAGGGATCTGCAAATAACGTGATTTTGAAAACGAAAGCAGGCACATCTGCTCAGTACAGTGTCCGATTCGGTGGGTATTAGCCATTGTGTCACGTCAGACAAGCTACGGTTTCCCTTGATTCGACAAACGCGCGAGTTCTCTTCTTTGCTTTTCTCTAGGAGCATTCGTTACCAGAGTTGATGAAGATGAGCTGTTTCTCGGGGGAGGACAAACTGCGCCTTCTGTTGATTGCTGCGCTCTCCTGCGGTGCGGCGTCCGCTGCGGCCTCTGGCGGAGGTGTAGGCGGCGGTAGCAGCGGAGTCGGCGGTGGTGGTGGGGCCAGCAGCAGCAGCAGTTTGGTTACCTTCAGTCTCTCCAACACTGACCTTGACCGATTCGAAGAACAACTTAAAAGTGCTCACCCCGACTTGGACACCTCCGCGATACGCTATGTACACCAACTCAGGTGGGTAATTCTACCGTGCAGTCATCATTTTTTTTCTTATTGGCTTATCCGATGACATTAACGCCCAGCTTATCAGTGAAGTTATTTGGGGTGTTTACTTTAAATTAAGAATGTGCGAAATCGAAATCACGCTTATTGTAAGTCCTGGTGAATTCGATGTGCTAACCTTCTTATTGGTTTTTCTAGTAAAAATACTGAAGCAGTGTCAACATTTGGCATAATATATACTACCATATATTGGATATTTCTGCAAGCTTTCACGGTGTCTTTTTTTCTATTTTACGTTATCGTGGGTTTAGGTAATCCAGGTAGTGTGCACGTTAACTTTTCGTTGCTTTCTTACTCGGTTCTAAACAGACGAATTTCGAGGTTGTCTCAGGCGGGTTCTTCGAGTTCTGTGGACGCGAGTAAAAGCAGCACCGGTCGGGCCATGCTAAACAAACTCGTCTCGCATGGCTCGGCCATGTTTATGGAGGGTATGCGTGTGCTTTCCGGTCGGAAGTCGGTAAGCTCCTGTGTGATTTTACTCAGTTCGATGCATTTTACAAATTTCTACCCAGACTCTTGACAATTCCGTCTTTTAGTACCTTCCTTTTACCCAAATCGTCTCACAGTTGGTTGAAAACAAGACCGATGCGGATGACTACAGCTACTTTGATCCTAAGCTTCAGAAGAGGGGAGTGTCGTAAGTTACCTTGCCATTTTCAACTATTGCTAAATGTCGATCACTAGATTTCATAACTGTTCTGAATTGGTGCTGTTATAATGGCTAGAAGTAAAAAGTTGTTTCTATACCGAATAAGTGTTTGTAGCAACGATTTCTTGGCAACTCACATCTCAATGTTATGTAGCCAGATCTCCATGTCGTTGTCAGGCTTTGCACTTGCTTCCCTCCTTTCAATTGAGCGAGTCTCGGCACCTTGTTGGAATTCATTTGACGTGTCTTGGCGATTTTCTGTTACGTCAATTGTTGAAACTGCTCCATGAACCGGTCTTGGGGAAATTTTGATTGATAGGCGATTTCATCGCCTACCTTGGTGTACCATTAAGGCTAATCCACGCAAGTATTTTTGCCTGAATTCGGCACTTCTCAGAATCTTCTGTCGTGTTTCAACGGTTTTTTAGAAACGTGCCACGCGCAAAGCAGCCCTTCTACGATGTTTATGTATTCGTAGTAGGAGGAGGCACCTACACTGAATACCACAACTTGATGCAGTGGTGCCGTTCGGGCACGACGACGCCTGGCGGCGGCGGCGGCGTCGGCTCGGGCGGAGCTGGAGGCGGCCACGGCAGCTCCAGCTCCCTCAACGCACTCGGCCTCTCGCTCTCGGGGTCTGGCAACTCCTTGATGGACTTGGCTTCGGCTGGAGGAGCATCCGGCAGACGAATCACTTACGGTGGAACAGAAATCCTCACGCCAAAGATGTTCCTTGATCAAGTAGGTAGCAATGCTCCCAACAAACTGCGTTGGGTTACCTGTCGTAGACAAAAATTCTTGGCAAAATGCTATAACGTAAACCAGATGCTTCGCTGGGATTCAGAGACCAAATCTCCGTTTTATTTAACCTCACAAACTTGAACGAATAACGCTGACAAAATATTTAAAACATTCAGCGTGATATTAAGCAATGCAACACGACCGCCATGTTACCAACGTTATCTAGAGAACTATTTGACGCAGTTTAAAAATCATCTCGCACTCCAAAGCGCTACCCATTGCCGAAAAACGAGGTCTTATGCAATCACGACCAAACATTAGGACCCAAATTTTACCGCTGGACTAAATTCAAAGAATCATCAGACATTGCACCCCCTTATAAGGCATTCCGTCGTGGCCTTAGTTCGAGTACCTTTTTCGTTCATCGGTTTTGCTAGTTGTGGTGGTTTAGCGGATCATAAGCACACATTTCTTACGTGCAAAAAGCCGTACAAAAGCTCCATCCAATCAACGCATTGACATTCTCCACCAATGATCGGTTTTTTGTGCTACTCTAATTTCCACTGACACTTTTGAACCTGTTTCAGCTCACTCGTCTTGGCAAGGACGCATAATACAAGACCCATTCGCCTGTCCTACTTTTCACTTCCTTACCCTACACCCCCCCCCACATAACTGCTTGACCCGACCTGAGGTTGAGGTGGCCGTGTCATCGAACTGAAACCACTTACCCACATTGTTTTCCCCCCTGCAGTTTTCTGATTTAATAATCCGATGTTTATTCTCTGAGCTCTTGATGTTTTCAATTAAAACATCGTGTAAATCGGTTTGGGCAAAACATGGGTCAGCTAATGACGAATCTAGCGGAGCGCCATACACCACGCAATCGAACCCTCTGCCCGAGGTATTTAACATTCCGCGATACCACTCCGAAAGATTTCAGTTATTCCACAAATGATTTTTTGTCGCGCTTGAGCCTGGATTTGAGTCGTGTGTTTTTGACCATCCGAAGTATGAGACCCATTCTACTTACGGTAGTGTCGACTTTTAGAAGAAAAGGTGTGCATTGTGCAACGCATCAAGGTGTTAATGAATGACCTTTCTGCAGAGTTGAAAAAAAATTACAGCTTTTTAATGCTCCAAATATAATCAATAGGAACATATTGTTTCATTACTGTATGCCACGTAGTTTGTACGTAGCGGCAAAGGGGGTCAAGTTCATGACGTTGTTGAGCGCTTAAATTGCATTATGTTTCAATCAACTCAAAACCACTCAAATGCATAATGATGGATTGCAATTTTGTACACATAATATAACAGAGTTATATAATTTATGATTATATGTATGCAGTATAATTAATCATGCTGGCAGCGTTTTCGATGAAATTGTAAGGGATGAAGGTAAATATCTTTTCTTGACATTGCATTCACCACATTTAAAAGCTACTTAATGGCTCACAGCTGCAATTTAGCATATTTTATGGTAGTTATTAAGTATGAAACATTAGGTATTATAAAGAATTCTTTCCTGGTGAAGGGTGATCCCGAAAAAGAATTAAATACACAGGAAATGAGAAAGTAATGGGCAGTCCAGTGGTTTTTTAAGTATTTCTAAAAGTTGTCCTAAGCAGTTAAACACCAGTAAAAATTAAGTGCACAGCACATATTTTTGGAACTCACGCTCATAAATTTTACTTAGGGGACGCAATGATTGGCATGATGTCCTAAGTTTCTCTTTTTGAACAAATCAAAAACTGGCATGAAATTCATGACTGATCCAAACACTTATTACATTTATTTATAAGGCCTAAGCTTTTTTTCTTAAACTAGGGGTGCCTGCAAATAAAATCCAACACCACTTACAAACATTCCTATTGCGACAAAAATACACACATTTTTACCGAGAAATTCATTAACTTTTAGCTCGGAGGCCAAGGTTCTAACTGACAAATAAACTTTGTCTACTGTGAGAATGCATTAAACAGAATCGTAACTTTTAAGTTAACTGCCTACAAATGCAAAATAGGGATGAAAAAGCCTAGGATTATCAACTTTTCAAAGGTCTAAATGGAAAAGTTTGTTTCTGTTAGTTATTTCCAGAACCGACATTTTAAAATCACGTGCTGGGCGAAATGTGCGAAGTTGATGGCTTAGATGTGCCTTCTGGTGTAAAACGGGCTAAGTATGAAGACCCCACTGATTCCTATCCAAATACTATTTCCGAATTTGACGTTGGAATTTCCGAGTTTCTTCTTCCAAACAGGATTGGTTTCAAGGGGACGTTGAAGGGCCGGCAAGTTGTTCTCTTTATTTAATGGCATTGTTAGGTGGGAAGATTTTCTTGTGCGAGAGGTTGACAACTCTGGTAACATATGCACACTTTCATCGATTGTCCCAATTGACCCAAGCAGTGGTTCTTCGGTAAATGTCTTTGCATCCCTAACTCCCTAGACTCCTAATATGTCCGAAAGTTATATCATCCCAATCGAAATTGATGAAGTGCTGAAAGAGATTGACTGTGAAACAATGTTTGAAGCTTCTTTTCCAGTAACTTCGATTTCTATCTCATATTCAGGCCTCTGATGATAAAAGTGAACGTGAAAACTTTCACAAAGCAATCCGGTCAAGTTACCCGGCTCTTGTTAGCAAAACAGTTGAGATTGATAACAATCGGTTCATAATTGTGACGCGAAGCAGTTTGACTAAAGGTTAGATTTGAAGCTCTTTATTTGGCTTCCAGGTAAAAAGGATTGGGAACGTTCATCGAGAACTCACGACCCACCTAAGCATAAACCTTACTGCCATTTCGTCCTGTACAAGGAAGGCAAAGACACAATGCAAGCTCTCCATGTGATTGGCCGCATGCTCAAGTAATTACACTATTCATATCTGTATTTAGTAGGATCAATTCTAACTCCTTTACCTACGCTGGAACAAAGGATAAACGGGCGATCACAACACAGAATGTTTCTATTAAAAAGTGAGGCTTTTCAATAAATCCAGTTTCTTTTCTCGTGAATGTACAATTTAATAAACATGTGTGCTTTGTCCTTCCTAGCGTCTCTTCGCGCCGTTTGGCCTCCTTGAATCCACGTCTGAATGGAATCAAATTAGGAAACTTTAAATATTCATCTGAGCCAATTGCGCTTGGGGATTTACACGGCAACAGATTCTCCGTCGTTATTCGGTAAATTTTATTTTATGTTATGATGGATAACTTAACTTCTATTGCCTATTTAGGGATGTTGTCGCTGACGACAGCGTAATTCATAAGGCTGTCCAAGAGTGGCAAAAACACGGATTTATTAATTATTTTGGCCTTCAAAGATTCGGCCATTGTAATGAAGCGCGAACCTATGATATAGGAAAGTGAGTTTTCCAAGTGTTAATACCTTTACAAGCGCTTCTACGCTTCCCAATCACTGCGATTAGGCATCGCATTTAAATAATCAATGCTTCTTATAGAGAAATTATCAAGTCTAGTTGGGAGAAGGCTATCGATCTCATCCTCACTCCAACCACTTCAGGTGAGACATTAATTTACTTAGTTCCGTTATTTTATGTTCGTAGTTATCTAAAATTTGTAAATTGTATTTTTTAGATTTGCCCATCGTTCGCCAGGTAAAAGAGCGATATTTAAAAACTCAAGACGCTAAAGCATGCGGGGACGACATACCACAATGTCTAGAGAAAACCTTGCTCCTCGGTATCGCCCGCCATGGGAAAACACTCACTGCCCTCCAGGTGGTAAGTCAGCCGGCACGTTGCTTGTAGCACTAACCCTTTATTCACACGCAAGCTTCAAATAAGACCAATATTTGCTGATTAATCATGTCGCAGATTATAAAATCCAGGGGTCCGATAGTGGAATAGCCTGTTATTGTTTTAAGTCATTGACTCATCAAATTATTCGTGACAGGAATAGAGCTTGGTGGAAATCTTTACATCGATAACACCTTAAATTTGTTTACTTGTATCACTCCCTAACCATTAATCTAACGACGAAGCTATCATTAGGGGAACGGCTTCATGTTCGACACTCCATTTTGTAATGACATTTTTTCTGTTTTACGAGTTCCAATGCAGTTTTATTTCTATTACATCCACCATCGTGTTTGTTATAAACATCAGGCAGTCGATTTATGAAAGGAAAACCGTATAAGTCATGAATTTCTTTGTGTTTTGGTTGCCTACAAACCGATGTTGTTATGTCAATATTTTAGCTACCACGAAACCTGCGCCATCTATACGCACACAGTTACCAGAGTCTCGTGTGGAATAAGGTAGCTAGTCGTCGTGTCCGTGAATTGGGCATAGACGAAGACTACAAGGCCCGTGTCGGGGACCTATACTTCCCCCAGTGTCCATCGATTTCGAAAGGTACGCATCAAGGCCTGTTTTGTTTTGCTACAGGATTTAGGAGTGGGAATCTGGCTGCTGCTATTTGTTTGACCTTTGTGAGGTCTTGATTTGGGGCTCGGACCGTCACCGGTTTAACTGACATAAAGTACCCAAAAATAAGAGAAAACCAAAGGCGACGAAGTTTATCGTTCATTTCTCCCAATATATGGTTAGTGTGCATTGGAGGTGTGAAGGCTTAAAAACCGGTTGACGAGTGACCAGTTTACCAGTGGATAGAAATCTGGCTAGGTGCTCTCTTATGGTCGTCGCCACAACGCTCACCAATGTGTCTTAAAACACCAATTTTCGTTTGAGCGTTATGCTAGCGAATGGTGTAACTAGGTACTATTAATAGAATGTACGGGATTGGGGTTAGGAATGTTATGCGGTGTAACGTGTGGTTACCGATGTGTTGCTTCGCCTATGATGCTATTCCCTGGCAAACCACTTCGCTGTTTATTTTCCCGTACTGGTTTGGAGTAAAGTTAACCGCATCCTAAACGGTAGGAACCGGCCACATTCTAAAAATTCATACTTTCTTTAGACCATCGATTCAGCAGTCATCTGAGTGGGAGAGTGATCAAGCAGTTGAGGTTTTGCTTCGTGTTATGCGTAATATTACATCTAGCTTCTTTTCTAGAAATGCTTCCTTGTTTAATTTGTTATCGCCTAGGCCTGCGCTCAGTAGACTCGTCTTCGGAGTTGTGCTACGACGACGCCTTCAACGAGTCCTCAAAGCCGGAAGAATTTCGGCCCTCGAAACCGCCAGTTACCCCCGCAGCGCCTTCCCGAGTTACCGCAGATGGTGAACGGCCTTCCATCCACCAGGTTGTGCTGCCTCTCCCCGGTTACGAAGTTGTCTTTCCCGACAATGAGTGTATGTAGTTGGTCGTTTCTTAACTTTTAACTAAACCCACGCCTTAATGGTTCTCAATCGTACGTCCAAATTCTGTGTACGAAGCTGCATTCTTATCCCATGTGAATCACCCTATGTTTCTCGCGGCTCATAACTAAACAATTGTGGAGTTCGTGGTGGCTGTGCGTCGTTTGCTCACTCATTCACATTGACATGGCAAACGGTAGTTGGCAAAGACCACACCATGGGTTTGATAGCCGGAACAGTGAGTACGTGAGGGCGAGCCCTCATTCGGAAAGTCAATTCCTGCCAGTGTTGTAATGAACTCATTCATTGACACCTTGATGCGTTGCACAACGCACCCCATTTCTTCTAAAAGTCAGTTTTGATACTGCACGGTCATCTTCGGCAGCAAACTTTAGGTCGACACTGCAAGTGCAACAAAAAACATTTGTGGAATAGCTGAAATCTCTAGAAGTGGTGTCGCGGAATGCTAAACACCTCGGGCAGAGGGTTCGATTGCGTGGTGTGTGGTGCTCCGTCAAATTCGTCATTAGCTGACCCATGTTTTGCCCAAACCGATTTACACGATGTTTTAATTGAAAGCATCAAGGGCTTCATAATTTGGATCGTAATGTTTGATCCTGGCGTGCTACATTATTTCACACTGCGCCAGACCCTTCTGCAAGTAAATTTGACCACATTACGGTCGTGTTTCGTCACCTTGTTTTACCCTGGATATTCGCCACCTTACGTCGTCTTTCCGTTTTATTGCAGTTTCGTGCGAGGTCGTCGCAATTTTCAGTAGTTCCTCTAAGTAGTGATGTTTTTTTGCTTTTGTTCATGGTTTCTGGTTTATGTAGTGCATTTGTGCGGTGAAACGTGTATCCTTCATGTTTACGCATCTTCTAATATCCCATCTGAATTCTTAAAGGAGCCACTGTATGCTATTTGTGTAGCTGAACATGCTCTACAATGAGGCTCTTATTTAATGCTGGTTTTTGTAAATATACTTATCTCTATGAGGTATTTTTATCTCAGGTGTCATTGATTGATTCCTATTTCGCGGATATATTTGTCGACATCTTCAACACCTTCGTCGATCGCTTGCGCAGAAATTGTGTGCTCTTGTGGCCCATAAGCGTTCCATCCTCCCTCGTTTTGTTTTTTGTCCACATTGTTGCTTGTTTCGTGTTTTTTTGCGTTTCATTATCACACTTATGTTGCACCAGATTTTGACCTCAAAAGAAGCTATTTCGGCGCCACCCGAATGTCGTATATAATTCCCATTTGAATTGTTCCGCCTAATTTCTCCGGCTTTGGGTCTTAGCGACCTTTTCGGCTCTAAAAATCTGAGCTGATGGACTTTTGTTCAAACGTGTTTCCGTGTAGCGTTTTTTTTTCCAATCGTCTCGTTTCGATTTGCAGGTGGCAAGTGGTATTTCGAACTTTTCGATGAGGACTCTCTGAAACTAGATGACTTCAAGCACAAAGTCAAGTGAGTTGTCTATATTGGCCTCTCATTTTTCCGTGGTGTGGAAAATTGTGTTCACCCTTAGAAGTCAGTTGAAAATTTCGGTCTGTAAACGATCGGATCTCCTTTTTTGACGCAGTTGATGTTCTTTTTATCAGTCCATGCAAAATTCCTCAACTCTTCTTTATATTTGTCCCTCGAGCTTTGAAAAATGCCATTTTTACCTGCCTCCCTAAACCCGGGGGAGATGGGGACTACTGCTAACTGGGCCACCAGGCTCGAGTTGTGAGTGGTTTTCATTCCTCAGAAATAGAGATTTACAAAAGTGTGAGGCGAATAGGCGCGGAATCACTGTATGTGGTAGTTATGAAAGTTGCTTTAACGGGGCAATCTAGTTTTACGTGCGGTTATAATGACATGCTGATTGCGGCCATGTTTCCGCCATGAGTGTCAACTCACAGTCCTTGCGTTTCTTCAATCATTGGGTGCCCTAATTTTGCCCGATTTTGCATATTTAGGGTTGCCATAAATGCACACATGCATGAAAGGTTTCTGTTATTGGATGGTGATGATGATGATGATGGCTTGACAATTTGTTTAGGGATTTTGCTCTTCCCGGGTCCTACCGTCATCTGATTGTCAAACCGGAGGATGTTCACTACGAGATTCACGAGTACGTCGACCCAAAAAAGCCTCTAATTCAGAGCGACTATGCCGCCATGTGTGCAGAATCATCGTCGCAGTCTAAACCGGATGAACAACAGTCTCCCTCACCAGAGAGTGGTATGCTTTTGGAGTAACTTGCTTTCCTCTTCTAGTAGTATTATTCCTTGTTTACCGCGAAACCAGCGGTAAATTTGAAAATGTAGCCTTTTTCTTGGCAATTTCATCGTAGCAACTTTCTACCTAGCGCATTCACTTGCCTTCTCATTGAGCAACTGCTTTTTTCTTTCCTATCGAGGACTGACGATAAATTCTTAGTTGGAATATCCGTGTTGTTACCATAAAATACGCGTTTTTGACCAGCATGCTTTATAGGCCATCAAGTGTACCTAAATCGCCCTCTTCACCGAAATTATTAGGGGGCTGAATTGAGTTGGCTAGGTCCCGGGTGCCAAATTAGTAATTTCTATCGTCTGTTTGAGTCTTGTTTTAAATCACTGGCCTTTCTACTAACATTCGAATTACAACGAATTCAGTAGCACACACCTGACACCAGCTTGTTTAAAATGTCACTTCCCCGTCATCACGTCAGTCACATTCTTTAGTCATCTTCAAGTAAAATGTCTTCTGTATACACTCAAAAGTTCGCTGATTCAACCCAACTAGGTTAATTTTATTCCTTGGCTTGACTAGAACATCAGCCCGAACTCCTTTTTCGTCAAATTTCTGTGTCTTTCATTGTAGAAAAATTTCGGGCTTTGGTCCTTGAATTTACCTTACCAAAAGCTGCCTACGCAACAATGGCAATCCGCGAGTTAATGAGAGATGTCACTGTTGTTCAGTAGAATCGTCAAAGGCTGAAATAATTGCCATTTTTATTAATGAGTTTTTGCCGTGCCTAAAAGGTGAATTATATAATAAAAATGTGCATTTTTACTTGATTATGGTTTTTTTTCATTTCTGCCTTGTTTCAATTTGCAAAAGGCCGAAGTTGCAACTAATGTATAACTCGGTCAAGTGTACCAGCCATAGCGCCAAAAAACGAGATGGTTTCTGACCCTTTAGTCGCAGGTGGGTGTGGAAGTCGGGATGAACAAGTTCTTTTACATTGGTCTGTTTTAAATATTTGTAAATTGGTAAAGCGAAAGACGAAGATTAGTGATAGGAAAGCTCCTCGATGCGCGTCCATTGCTGGTTTGGATGCCATCAATGCCCTAATTCAGTTAGAAGTTTGCTATTTTGTGGCTAAAGTGATGAACAAACCAGAATCTTTTGGGGGCGTTGACGAATCCGCTAATAAGATGGCTGACGCATTGTAGGCCCAAGTAGAATGTGTGTGATGCGGGTTCTAAGTTGGATTTGTAAGTATTTAGTTTTCAAAACTACAAATCTTTATTACGGTTTCCTGGCGCCAATGCGCTCTTCATAAAGGTGACATCTCGGAGCTTAGAAAAATCCACTCCAGCACAGTACTTGTTTCTGACGGTTTGGTATAATTAGGGACCATGTGGTTAAGCCCCAGAACGATTTGGGAACACTGGGGCCGTGTGACCTACTTTGACAAGATCCGACCAGGAAAAAGGGTGACCGTAGGTGACACAGTGCTAAACCGATTTATTTTCAAATCAAGCATAGTTAGGTGCGTCCAAGGCGTGATAGGGCTTAATTTAATCTGGGAACGCTTGACGTTGACCGCTGAACGAACAAATAATATATTGAATCCGTGTTCGCTGGCTGAAAACCATTGCTCTTCCTTTTGCTGAAACTGACGGACCTATTCTTCTGATTAATAGAAAGTGTGTCCCAACTGTAACAGGTTGATAGGCTGGTCTGTGTAATGTTAAGATACCTATGTCCGAAAATAAATTACCGTCTCGAATAAAGGAAGATAGACTACGACATTAGTCTTTTTGGACAATAATCCATGTTTATAGAAGTACAAAATATCTAAATTTGACACTAAAGACGTAATCAATTATCGAATTTTAATTTAAAAAACCTTAAACTTCGGAAAAATTAACTGCATCATTGAATTTACCTGGTTGTTATCCCACTATGACTAGGTCTTCTTAAAAAAATTAATGTGTCACAATAAGACGACACGTTTTTTTAAATACCGTTTGAACACATGGTAACTCCACGTGGAGTGAGGTGGTCAACTTGAAGGACTTTTTATTTAAATACCCTGTGTTAGTTACGCGGCTACTTAAAAGAAAATGGATGAGACCTATGATGTTATTATTCTTGGCACTGGTTTAAAGGTATTGCATTTATTGAATCAAAAACGTGGCAATTTTTTTAAAACTAGGAATGCATTTTGAGTGGATTAATGTCTGTAGCTGGCAAGAAAGTCCTTCATATGGATCGGAACAGCTATTATGGTGGGGAAAGTACTTCCGTCACTCCACTTGATGATCTCTTTAAACGTTTTAACAAACAGTGCCCTGGTGAGAAAGTGTATGGCCGTCTACGGGATTGGAATGTCGACCTTATACCGAAGTTTTTAATGGCTGATGGTAAAGTGCTCCTAAACCTGAAGCGTCTTTCTAGGTAAACTTGTCAAGCTTCTCCTACACACCGGGGTGACTCGTTATCTGGAATTCAAGTCGGTGGGTGGCAGTTACGTTTATAAAGGCAATGTGGAGTCTGGGAGAATTTGTAAGGTTCCAAGCAATGAAAAGGAGGCGCTGACGTCAGGTATTTGTGTTATTGCTGCGTGTTAATCGTCTAGATCTCATGGGCATGTTCGAAAAGCGCCGGTTCAGGAAAATGCTTATCTTTACTGACTCAGTTGATGAAAACAATTCTGCGACATGGGGAGGCTTGCCTTTGAACAAGTGCACAATGCAGGCCGTATTTGACAAATTCGGTGTTGATAACAACACACAGGTGCGTCCACCATGTAAACAGCTTCCATGTTTTAATGTTGTTGCGAAAACGATGGCACAAATTTCGAAATAATTCCTTTTGCGTGGTTAAGAAACATGGGTTTTTCAGCCATGGGTGCTTGGTATTTGAGTCTCAATCTTGATGCAGATACCTTGGCTAAATCCATTGTGACGCAGTTTTTTCGACGTTGATTCTGTTGTTTGGCTTTATTTCCTGATGATCTGTTTCCCTCATAAGAATTTGAAGTGTGCCATTTCCTTAGACTTGAAAGTTTCTGTGTCGAATTTTCAATTAACCTAGACACGAATCATGCTAACTTGGTCAAAAATGATGCTTTCCTTTTTTGATTCCCTATCTTCAAAATAACCGACTCGGATTTTGTTCCTCTATCCCGGTTTTTATCTTTCCTGTTAGCTACTTTAGTGAATACTTGTTTGAGAAAAATAAGAATTCGTTGTCGTTTTCCTTTTGTGCCTTTTGTTACTTTTTTATTCCCGAATCCTATGCGAGGAGTGAGCCTGTGTAAATTCTCCCAATGATTGCCTAAAATCAAAATATTTCTAAGCACCTCACATTTCCTTAAACTCAACCATATTTTTATCATTCTTACCACTGTAAATGTTGTCTTTAGTCATATTTTTAAAATATTATTTTTTGACTCTTTATGCTGTCAAGCCATCCAACGAGCCCATTAATTCGCTGTGGCCTTTGTGCAATCTCGTGCACCATTTGACTATTTGTTCTGGATCTGCGATACTCACACGTTAAAAAGCATGTCTCTTCTACCTTTAGTAACTCTTGAGTGCCCTCTGCACCTTCTAGTTATCAACTAATTTTACAAATTACAGAACATGGTTGCCGATTAGTGCACTGCCTTCTTTCTCCTTATCCAAGTTGGTACATTACTGCTCTATTTATTCAGATATGTTCAGGGTTGTACTCTTTGTGTTTGTTTGTAAAAGTTTCAAACTGTAGAACAAGTGATTTTGAGTTTAAACAATGAACTAAAATAACGAGATGTTGTTCGCTGTTCAATATTCTAAAAAATCGCTTTGCGGCAATGTTTGAATGTGTGTTCCCTTTCCTGATGTTTTCGCATCTGCATACACATTATTTTGGTTTCGCTTTAGTACGCCCACGGTGCATTTGTAACAGTTATTTCTCATTGGCTTACCTGCTGCCTACCGTATCACCGCTCTATCGGCATGCTTCTAGATTTGCCAGAACCTCGGCACTCGTTTTTAGTGCCCGTTGTCTGCGTCACAATGTGTGTGCTTGTAACTAGTTCGTCTTACCAAAAAAGCGACCTTAAACAATTTTAAAACACTTGTCTTGTTATGACTTGCTGTTACTAGTAATTGGGGGGAGAAGCAAGTCGTTTTTATCCATCGCTACTCAGTCTACTTCTTTGCGTACACTGAACACCTCATCGCTTTCTTTTGAAGGACTTTGTTGGTCATGCCATCTGTTTGTACCGCAATGATGACTACAAACGGAATCTGTGTGCTTTGGATGCAATTAAGCGCATGAAACTCTACAGTGACTCGCTCAGTCGGTACGGTTCATCACCCTACCTCTACCCTCTCTATGGGTTAGGCGAGCTGCCCCAGGGATTCGCTCGCCTAAGCGCGGTTTACGGAGGAACTTACATGCTCAATAAGCCCTTCGATGGATTTGTCATGGAGAACGGCAAAGTTGTCGGCGTCAAATCAGAGGGTGAGGTGGCCAAGTGCTCCATGGTAATCTGCGATCCCAGCTACGCGCCAGACTTGGTTCGGCAAGTTGGAAGGGTAAGGCGTTTACGTCCTTCTTATGGGTGTTTCCTTATGTAACATGTTAGACTGCGTCTTGTTGTAAATTCCTCTAAATTTGCCCTCCTAGAGTCATTAGATGTGGTCTAGACTTCTAACTAACTTCAGTCTGCTTTTTTAATTTAGTCTAAAGTGAATTGATAGGGTTGTACGAGCATAAGCGAGACGCCTAAAGAATCCACGATGGAATCCGCGCCTTTGCTTTCATGTTTTGATTGCAGGTTGTACGTGCCATCTGCATCCTGGATCATCCGATCGAAGGCACAAATCAAGCCACCTCGTGTCAGGTCATCATTCCTCAAAACCAAGTTGGACGTAAACATGGTGGGTTCTGCCTTTAAAAAGACCATCTTGAAACTCAATCTAAATATTAACCGACTTTCATTTTTGCACCGTGCAATCTGATTTACACTGTTACCGGTCATACTAGTGTTTTGGCATTTGTCATTCCTAATAGCGATGTGACTTTTGTGGTAACTATAAAAGACTACTCGAGCTTCTCCTATTTGGCAAACGGCACCCCGCGTATGTATAGCTGGTACTCCAGTTGGTTCTCAGTGTCTACAAAAGACTACAACGTCAAATGATGTGCACTTCTTTGCAACCCTAAAATCGTTTTAGCGTGCTCGAAAATTTACAATCAAAGTTCCTTCTGTGTTCCTTAATGTAGAAATAGTTTTCGACTCGAATTTCGGTCGGTATAGTCAGCTTGTGTGAGTTGTGGCTGTGTTTATTTAACGATGTTTGTCATTTGATTAACTAAAGTAGTCGGATCATTGGTGCAGTGTCCTAAAAACTCCGAGTGCCTTCTTTTCTCCTTTCAAGTGGCTAGTGTTAACCATTCGCGTCTTTTTTGGCAGACATCTACGTCTCCTGTGTGTCCTATGATCACAACGTGGCCGCCAAGCCCTTCTTCATTGCTCTGGTCGCCACCACGGTGGAAACACAGCAGCCCGAGCGTGAACTCACTCCGGGCATTCGTTTGCTTGGCCACATGAAGGATTGCTTCGTCTCAGTATCCAACATCTACGAACCCACGAACAACGGCAGGGACAATAATGTAAGATCTCCAACATGTAACCGTTCATTCTTAAATCCCCGCCTTGTCCATACAGTCGAAATTCTGCTCAGTGGTCGCGTCGCCGAGCATTAAAAGTTGTTGACCAATACGCTTCAGGTGAACTGGTGAAAATGCAATTACCTGATTGGCCGGATGTGTAGTAGGGATTTATTTTCGGATGCGTACGCATGAGTGTTGGGGACTGCAAAGAAGTGGGCAGTGTGTCTGAGTATGCAGCGCTCAGGGTTGATGGACGTGAATCACTGCTGGCTTAAGACACGCTAGCGATACAGGAAATCGTACACTAGTAACCTTCCGAGTCGTGCTGAGTCATTTTTTTTCTCGAGCCACGGCATTGGGTCGTAGAAAACAAGTCTCGAAGATGCTTTGTTTTCATGTTAACCATCTCAGTGCGCTGTGTTTGACAATGCGCACGAGCACCTCCATAGAATTTTGAACTGGCAGTGCTACAGTTCACACCTTCTGCCAAGGGTCTATTTCGCGTCAACTCTTTAGCGAACTCCGTGCAATATGCTCCTCCGGTGCGTTTCTATCCAGACGTTAACTTGTGCCCGTCACAGTAGTTGTTTATAAGCAAGGCTAAGCGCATTGCCGTTTCTTCGCATTAGCTCCCCAAGGGCTGAGCTCTTGTCACCTATTGAGGGCGCTTTGGCGAGTGCGTTTTTATTACCGCAAGTGTAATCAGGGAATTTATTGTGCGCTCTGTCTGTGGTGTCGACTCTTCTGCCCTCTTATACACCCTCTTTTAAGCATGCATTGCGATGTTTACGAGTGTTTTTGCTCACCTGAGTGACTAACTGTCAACTCCTAAAGAAACCCACGCCACTTGCTATCAAGGGCTTTCTGTTCACTTGATCTTGACCACTTGATCCACCTCAATAAGTCGTAGTGCAGCCTTAAATAACCAACAGTAGTGATGTGCGATCAGGCGACATGCTGAATTTTTATGCGCCGTGGCTGGAGAAAAACTGCGCTCAAACTGTGCCACTGTTTGAACTGAACCGAACGACCCTCTGTTAAAGCGAACAAACGGGCCCAGTGTGAGTAAATACGGAAATATTTGGCGACATCCATAATGGCTGTTTGCAGCTTCTTATGGTTCAGGCCTTTGACTTAGCGGGATCATAATTGAACAACCTTTTGTAACGCACTCTCACGCCACGTAGGTACGACATCCCTCGGTTGTAACAGGATATTCTTTCGTTTATTTGCAACTTTTAGCAATAATTGGGATTCGTTTACATGTGGACCAAGTCAGTTGTGCGTGGTTAAAGGCTATCGCCAGATTGGATTGAAGGAGGATAATTTGGTGGTGCGACGAAGGAATGTTGGAACACGAGACACAGCACCCATTTTGTTTGACTTGGCGCTGGCGCCAAGGGGGCCATGACGTGTTTTTCATTTCCCCAGTTTCCTCAATCCCCGACTGCTTGTCGTTTAGATCTTTGTCTCGTCGAGCTACGACGCCACCACACACTTCGAGACGACCTGCGACGACGTCCTCGACATCTACGAGCGCGTCATGGGCGAGAAGTTCGACTTCTCCAAGGTGAAGGCCACTTCAGAGGACGACCAGTAGTCTGCACACTGCTTCTGCATCTGTCGTGAAGGCCTTTTCTCCTTCGGTTCACTCGTCACTCCCTCACTTTGCTGTTGTCCTCCACCCTCCATTCCATTTGCTTGCTTCTCAAGTCGGTGCTGCGCTGTCCAAACCACTGTCATCATGTTTCCCTTAATTTTGTTTCGGGGGTTTGTGTGTTGGCCGTTCACAAGTCCATCCCCCTCCCTTCGCGATGTTCTTGTCCTCATTCTTTATATATTCCTAAACTTGATTTGCCACTAAAATAACTCCTTGGTAGTCCGACCTTGCTTATTCCCGCGTTCTTTTTGAAGTGTGTCGTTTTTTCCGAAACCAGGCAACCTGAATCCTTTGTAGTGGGCCCCGGTGTGGTTTCCAAAACCGCACCGGGGCCGGTGATTTACACAGACAAGACCCCGACCGAAAGAAGAGTAGAAAAGGATGCAGATGGCGCGTAGCTCGACCAATTTACTGATGCAGAAGCGGAGTGTGTCTGTATAGGATAATGAGTGCGTTTATGTAGCTTCGCTAAGCCTCGATCCCTGAACGAGCAGGGTTGCGTACGGTGCATTCACGAAAAAATCGATTGATTTGTGTTCGCTCGTGCTTGCACCCTGCGTCCGCCCACGACCGCTAACTGGGCTTGCTTGGTGCTCGCCACACCTTCTTCGCCCTGCTTCTGTACCGCGTGGATCGAAAGTCGTACAGGGGAATGTGCTAACGGTAAATGCACAAAGCGAAAGCATGAGGGGGTATTGGTTTAGTCATAGTAACCACGTGGACGGCAAGTGTTCGCAATGTAATGCCACCTTGTCAATCGTCAGAGGCACGGCTAGTTTCAACAGGGAAGCTATCAATAAGCGAACGGTTGACGCGGTCCTCTCAGTAACTTGGTTAAATTCTGTAATCGATTCTGGTGACTGTTTCACCCAGTTCATTTTTCCTTTCAGTCTTCATGATTCAGGATTGCAAAATCCTGTGGTGGTCTCAAGTTGATGTCGATTGTAGAGCACACTTAGGCATTGACCTGTTTAGCATTTCCATGCCATCGAGCGGGGCTAGGTGATGCGAACGGATGGAGGCCAATGGGCTCTCTGCTTGGAAGGACATTGTAGTACTCGTACTTAGCTTTAAGCATTTTGGTTGTTTAAATAACAGGCATTGGCGGACTTTCAAATTCTGCCTCCTGTATTCACCTTTCAGAGCATTTCAAAAGTGACATTGAATTGGTACTTATGTAATTACAGTAGTATAAGCAGCTGTCCTGGCCGTCAAATTCTCCAAAACCCGTCTCAGAAAGTACGCTAGGGTTTTCTCAATCCTACCGTTTTGTCCCCTGTTGCAGATTTAATATCACCCTGCGCCAGATGACGTCAACAATGTTGCTTTCATGAAAACAAGTTTTGATATTTAAAAATCGGAATAAAAACTGTACACTGAATTTGCACAAATGGTGTTTCTGGGCTTAATGCATATTCCGAATAAAGTTGCTCCACGATTCTAGTGCCAAGTACGAGTCTAACAAAAGGTAGTTTGTCAAGGCACTCCACGGGCCTCGTCGGTTGCCTTCCTCTCCTCCCTCTCTTCGCTACTCTCCAACTCCATGACCAAATTTAAGCAACCGGACACCGCTTAAGTAACGACTAATCCGCATGTACAGTAACGCAACGTCGGTCCGCGTGTTGTAATCAACGAAATGCATGTAAAGTAGACATGGAAAAGGAGAGTAGGTCTACTGTCTGTTAAAATCATGTTCCTCTCTATGAAATTCGCCAATCCCGAACCGCCGTCTCAGTCTAACGCAGATTTGTGATTGTTCTGCGTCGACATAGCAAATCCTAGAAGCGCATCTGACACCATGGATAGATGTATATTCTGGCATTAAAGCGTTCCCAAGTTTAATTTGATGCCGCACCTTTTTCTTTCATTCAATCCATTGTGATAACTGACGGGAAGTCCAGTCGTTTTCGCAGAAACCAGTCACTTCTCATTTTATGGTTTTTCAATTGTGCAAAGACGAAATTTTGACCAATGCTTGGTCCTTTTACTGTACTCATCACCTAGGGCATTTCATGTATCGAATAAACCGGACAGCTTGGACCAGTACCCTCTTCGAGCATAGATTTGAATATGACCTGTAGAAAGGGAACGTTGTCCAAGAAACTAGGAAACTTCAGTGGGGAATACGTCTACTCGTCTTTCGTCGGAACTTATAGTAAAAATGTCTCAGTAGCCATTTCTTGTTATTGTCAGGGAAGAGACATAAACTGAACAGTTGCCTTATTGACATATACCTTTTAATGTTTGGTTGGTAATTCAGCATCCACATTGGCCCAGCCGCCTTTGAGTGCCCTTTTAGTCTGTTGTGGGCCACAGCATATGGTCTTGAACCACGCCGGGGCCACGGAATCAACCCTGGCCCGATTACGCTTCCCTGCTACCCGCGATGAAGGTGTGGGCACAACCGTTTACTACAGAGTTCAAGCTCGGTGGCGTCGTTGTGTCGTGTGTGGGGTTTGCGCCTGAGTATTTATACCTCGGATGTGTGAGTCATACAAGCGCTAACATCAAGACCTAGGTGTGAGGATAATCCAAGATAAATATTCGCGTGAATGAAGGGGGAGCTGAGGATTCACGCGGCTAGCGACATGCTGCGACAAAGGGAACCCTGTGTAGGAGGTGGTGTGACCGGATTAAGGGATGTAAATAAACACGATTCACAACAAGTCCTACTTGCACTCAAAGCAGCCCACGTCGCACATAAGCGTGTGTGAGACAGCTCCAATGTCGCAGTCTGATTAGGCACTGACGTGTGGGCGCTTTGTCTGAGTGCAGGGGGGCGTTTTTGGTGTGTTAATCGAGGGTGTTCGACTGGTCGCGTTCGGGGCTTCGGTGATCCGCCACACACACGGGAACTTTAACTACTGCGTGGGCGTTTGTGAGCATTGCAGCAACAAAACGGATGCTGCTCAGACGTCATCCACAACTCCACGACTCAAGTTAGTCCGCCAAAATCTCTGTACTCAAATAATTCGTGGTTTTTTAACATCCACTATGGAACTGTGCCTGAGAATGGGTGAACGGCCTGATAATAGCATTTGCTCAGACGTATTCATTCCCCAAAATGAAAATGCCCTAACAATCAAAGGGGGTTCATTTTGTAGCTATTTTCATTCACTTTTTGAAACAGAAAACACCAACGATTAGTGAATTAAAGCCTTTCAGACTGATTCATGGGCAATATCTGATCTTTGCTATAAATGCATTGGAATCCAAGATTGTCTCGCTGAATGTAGTTTCAAATGAACTAGTCTCTATCAGTGCAAATGGAAATTATGTTTACTGATAGATAGTGCTTTATCAGTTTTCCCGATTCTAATATTTAATTATTGTACGCGTAGATTACGTTTGCACAAACCTCGTACGAAGTCAACTCACAATTGAATGGCTTAGTGATGGAGTTTTTCATTTTGAGACAATACCTAAAGTATCGGAAAAGCCAGAGACAATGGGTACTCAGGGTCTGACCGAATTGTTCGACTACTTACTCGCCGGGGACGCATGCAAAGAGATAAGTGTCTGCTAGTGGTTTCAAGTGAGTAAACTGGGGTTGCAGATAACAGGGTGAGCAAAGTGATTGATTGATTCGAAACAAGCCTGTCTTTGGTTTCGGTCAATTTGGCAATCTCATATTTTTAGGTTATTGCTGGGTTAATTATTGTGAGTTCACGAAAAAAAACGTTACAGAACGTGCGACCGGTCAAGTGGGTTCGAATGCAAGATGCCAACATGTGTGTCAACATTCAAAAATCTGAAGAAAAAATACCAAAAAATGCTTTGTGAATTTCACCGCAATGGATAATTACGGTGAAAAACTATAGTAGTCATGAAGTAGTCACTTGAAACAGGAAAATTCAAGAAATGAGTTTCATTCGTTTTATGGTCCCACATCGCTGAGTGCCCCATGAAGGCAATAAAGGCCTATGAAGTCTTCGACTCTACGTGACGCAAATGATGCCTCAGGATAATGAACTGATAGCAGAAACATCGTAGGCGAGGGATCAAAAGGGTCACGCTATGAAGCACTCAAGGCATTCACGAAATTCCGTTTCACGTGCGTGTCACACCAATGTGCCTCCGATGTTCCAGCAGCTTGCAAGCAAGCCAACTCAGCCAGTTAAAGTGTCATAGAACTTCTAGACAAGGCTCACTGATCTCTGGGGCTCCCGAATGCCTCCGCACCATGAAACCAGCTACTCGAGGTCGCGACATTATTGAGAATGCCTTCGCCATTTTGGTCTATCAGTTCCTTTACTTATGACACCAACTTATGTACCCTGCATTCCTTATTTTCGCATTGGTAAAATATTTAACAACTGCCAGATTTTCCTTCATTTAAGAACGAAATATGATTTATTAGGCATTTGAAAAGACCCATCCTTTGATTCACGCGGTCTTTCAGATGAGCCTGTGGCGAGCACCAAGCATGCACAGTTAGCGGTCGTGAGCGGACGCAGGGTGCAAGCGTGAGCGAACACAAATCAATCGATTTTTTCGTGAATGCACTGCACGCAAGGGATCGTTCAGGGATCAGGGATCGATGCTTAGCGAAGCTGTATAAACGCACTCGTTATCATGTACAAAACACACACTGCTATTGCATCAGTAAAATGGTTGAGCTACGCGCCATCTGCATCCTTTTCTACTACTTTTTAGGTCGAGCCTTGTTAGAGCATATCGCAGGCCCTGGTCTGGTTCTTCAAAACCGCACCGAGGCCCACTACAAGCCAAAACTAGGTAAACGCAGACTTTCAAGGAGAATAAATGCACCTCTGGGAAAGGCCGATTTCCTGGGTAAGAGAGCGCGTAGTACGACCACACATGCGAAGGCGTTTATTTCGTCTTGGACGTCCTCTATGGGCGATAACTAGGGCAGCGCTTCGTTTTACGCTGTTCGGAAACAAATTAAAAATCAATAATTATCAGCAAGCTAATTGTTCTGTCAGTTGTAGATTACTTTGCGGGGGCTTCCTTGTTAACGCAAACGCTATACAATTTCACACCGAAAACTCAAGTTTACTGGTATTTTTCCGTTGAGCACGTCAATAATTTTTACAATTACTTCAGTCGTCCCCACCTAGTCAGCCCCCAAGATGAGATAACTGCATTTTCAATTAGAATGCCTTTTTGTAAACGCTAGACTGGGAGGAGGAGTAAGCCTGTTGCGGTGGCGGCGGCGTCGTCATACGTATTTAGATACAGGAAAAGAAAAGCACAGTTTTTGATGGGGTGATTGAGTAAAGTAAGTGGCTGTGTTTAAAACGGACGGATACAAAGGGACCGTTGGGGGAGAGCGAATGGTGGGTGGTACCAACAGCAGGGCAGGGTTGTGTTGTTGGGGTTCGGGTTGCGCCCACCCGCATGTCTTTCGGCTCACTGCCCGCTGATGTAGTTTTGTCTATTTTGCACTCTGAGATTTGAGAATTCACTCTCAACTGGCCTGGAACACAAAGAGGTATTGCATGCACTAAAATCTCCAGGCAGTTTTCTGCAGTTCCCACTCTCAAACAGTCGCAGGCAACCTCTCATGGATCCGCTTGTTTTCAAGCAAGCCTGATTTTTTTGGATAAATTTGATTATTGCGCCTTTGACATAAACGCAGAAAGTAAATGATCGAATAGTTACAATTCATAAATCTGGTTACACGAAGCACATCTCCATGGGTTAAATTTACGAAAACTGTTTTAACACTAATCACAAATAACCCAAACGATTTCCGCGCATAACGATTATTCCACTAGTTGACACTACACCGGACATCAATTTTGCAAGTCAGGGTAAATTGAAATTTTATTTGCCTTTTTCTTTCTCCAATCACCTTGGCATAAGTACTAGTCCTCTTAATTTAAACCGTCTTTTCTGAATGCCGAGTTGGGGCTGTGAGTTATTGTGACTCGATTTGCAAAATCGATTCAGGACTTCGGACGGGAGGGTAGCACGTGTTGGCGAGTGGTAAGCCAGTGGAAAATGTGCTTAAGAGGGTTCGCGAATGTTTATACCAAGCATGAGCGAACTGTTCCCGTATTGGCTTATTCAATTGTGCGGTTTTGGTTCACTGATCGGAAAGTCACACTCGCACACAAAAACGACTGAGTCTTGATCGATTCCTGCTCTGGATGCTTCGTGACACATAGCGTCCCAACACACAGACACACCCACCACGCTTTCCATTTTGCTATTGCTGATGGATTCAAACGCATCAGCTAAAATCTTGTTCCCCGTCAACTCTTAGGGTGTTTTAAACAACTCCCGCGGATGGCTACGGAGCACCAACTTATAATAGGTACCCGAGGCTTACTTATTAATGGTGAGTTTTAAGTCTTTGCCGGAGGCACGAATGCTTTCCGTGGCCTGTGAGTGGCTGAGTGTCCGAGTGTCCTGGCCGTTGATTTCAAATATTTCATCGCCACTGTGGAGTTGTCCTTCGGCTGGACTTCCAGGCTGGGTCTAAAGACAGGCAGAAATGCAGTCACAAAAGCACGCGTCTAGCCATCTCACCCGCCTCTGTAGTAAGATTAGTTTGGATTCTGATTTATTCATTTTGCATTATACATTTTTATCTATTTGCGCAGAAAGCTTAATAACACCAGCATTGTGAAGATAAGGTCGCACACAGACACACACACACACACACATGCTCACGGCATCCGTCGGCAATTTTACACCAGTGCTAGCAATTATCAGGTTCTTTTTGAAACACGTAAAAAAAGTTGCGGCAGAGAGCCACTTGACGCCAGCATTGATGAGGCGTGCACGAAAACTGCGCAAGTGCCTGCTGATGTCGAGGCAGGTAGCGGTTGTGTGCTATCGTTGGTGAGCTGTCTAATTAACTGGGTAATTAGACAGCTCTGCGGGGGTAAGTAACCGCAAACGAAGGACGTGGTGACCTGCGCATACGTAATAGTGCGCGTGCCACAGAGGGTTCACGTTAGTTAAAAATGGGCCTATGATGAATTAATGAAACACTGGAAACCAGTAACTTTAGGTAATACTGTTCACGAGTGGAGGTGCTCAAAAAGAGGTGCTACACGTCACCCCGAGTTTTGTTCAGAGAACAACCAAAGCAACCATCACAGGCTCTTGAAATCTCCATTCTGCACTGATAAGTAAGTGAGCATGCAAAACTGTTTGTAAAATATCGACATGGATTGATCCATTTAGGGGGTGGGTATGAAGTCACCCATAAACTCCTCTATAGATGAACAAAAATGAAACCAACCAAAGGTAAATTTTAACACTCCAGACACGAGGCAAGGATCTCTAAAAGGGTTCCAGAGATAAATCTAATTCTCAAACTAAACGTCACTACAGGAATGGGGAGGGACGATCAAAACGACATGAGAAACCAGTAGCTTCATCCTGGATATTTCCGCTGAAATCGATTACTGCTAAATATAGGCAAACCAAACTACCGAATCATGGGGTATGCTTGGTTTTCATACGTGGCTTCCCCCGTGTGACTTCAATTGTACCAAAACATGGAGCAGATACGAAACAAACAACTCAAGGATACATTAAGATCAGGCTACTATGATAACTAAAAGTGCTTACAGAAGAATACTCCTCCGTCGCCACGTTTCTGTTTCTATTACTTTGGAAACATTTTCTCAAAAGCGCGAATTAAAGAAAGTCTACCTCCCCCGAATGAACAAAAATCAAGGTGTCACCGCAGTCCCCACGCCCGCGAGTAAGCGAAAGCCTCGCAGCCAGGCGGACAATTCTACGGCATTCCCCACTTCAGCTGCGAGCGTGCCTGCGCTCTCCGCCCAAACCCACCACTTCACTTTGCTTCGCTAAGAGATGCGCCCTTGCCTACGCGCCCTGCAAGTCTACCCACGCACAGCCCTGCGGCTACAACCGCCCTTGCATGCGCGCCTAGACGCACGCGCGCACGCGTGCAAGGTAGCGCGGCAGGCGATCGATCGATTCTAGAGAGTGCGAAGATAAGCCTGAATGGCCTCAGCGATGGTTAGCGTAGGCAGATAGTGAGTTGATTGGTCGCAGTGTCGTGCGTTAAGCCAGGTCGGAAGTGTGTGTGTGTGTGCGTGTGTGTCTGTGTGTGTGCATATGCGTGAAGAAGGTAGGCAGGCAGTAAGCGAAGCGCAGAGGATGCAGGCGCAGCCGCAGCCAGCAGGTAGCAGTAATGGTGGTTTAGTCGTGCCTCAGAGCACAGGCCTATTTCCCCAGCCTACTCAAATGTCTTTCGAGGCTCCAAGTGAAGTTAAGATGGCTTCTCAGCCTCTGACGATCTCGCAGGCGCAGCCATTTCTCATTCCAACGACACAGTTTACCATTCCAACCCAGCAACCCACACCAATGGCTCCTGCTGGCACAAATTTGCCGATTACGCAACTTAGCCTAGCTGAGATGGAGTCCATAATCTCGCCGCTCACGAGGAGACGGTCCGAGGGCTTCGTTCAACAGGAGGTCAAGTTAATGATCAAGGAGATAGAAAAGCGAAGGCACATTTTACTGTCCGTGTCGCCATCTCATAATAAGCTGAAAAGAAGAGCGTGGGAAGAAGTCGCCAACAGCATGGCCCTCAAGTGTCCACACGAACCCAGACGCACAGGGGAACAGGTGAGTCTGGTCATGCTTCGAACGATCTTGACGTGAAAACACGGGGCACGTAGTCCACTACTTTCAGGTGGCTTGCGTGTTCTTCCCTTAATTCACTGGGCCTCCACTTTATTAGTCTACGTAGTTCAAAATTTGAATTATACAATAGTGACACAACTTAATCAACTTTGTCACTGTTGTGTTTTGTGTTAGTTCTGCAGTCATTTCAGACAACATATCAGTATTTTGCGGTTGTTTGTTTTTTTGTCGGTGTATGCGAGCACACGCATCTCCGATGTGTCCACGGCGGTGACCCACGTGTGCCGTTCGCTGTGGTGACCCTTCAGGTCATTTATGAAGGTTTGAGTGATTTTGATTCATCGTTGAGGGCCGTAGGCCAACATCACGCGCCTCGCTGTTTGTTCGTTGCGGTGTCGAATAAAACGCAATAATTCCTTTCATGAAATGACATTTAATTCTCGATTTTAATGCCCTTGTGTAAGTGCAACTTACTTTGTCATGTTTTCTCGTTTATGCATGAATTTTGAGGTAGATCAAGAAGAAGTGGGAGAACATTGTCTCAAAGACGAAAAAGAAAATTCGAGACGGTCATGTGACACCGGAATTGGACTGGAACGAGACAAACACAATGGTGATGCAGTTTCTGGCCTCGGCAACCCAAGAGATGCGGGCAAGACAGCACGCGGCGATGTACGGCAGCCCACAGCATCCCTACTGTGGAGTTTCAGCGGCGCCTCCACCATCCTCCTCTCCCTCCACGACCCACTTCACTCCAGCCACCTTCGCCGTCAGCTCCGCCTCACCACCTGTCTTTCCCTCTGCAACCATGGCGAACACTGAAGACACCGTGGTATGTGTCGATTCCTTCAGCAATACCTGCTCTTTGAAGGCCTCAACTTGCACAAAGCAGCAGCAGCAGCAGCTGTTTGTGCGCCTACTCTCGATAAAACGCCATCACGTCTCGATTCGCACGTAAAAAACTGTGAATCAAGGCTGCGCTTGTTAGGAATTACTCTGGCTGGTTTTTTATTCACCTCTAACTAGTGTATACACCACAGGAGGATCCCCCACATTTGTGTGAAAAAAATAATCGTGCAACACTTCTTGAAACATGCTTTTACATCCACCCTGGCACACCATAATCCCGACTAGGTGTTACCAGTGTTTCTGGTTGTCACATCTGATTGGAACCTCTAAAGAAGTGGTCATCCTCTGAAGTAATCTCTGTCCACCTTGAGTCTTGAGAGGTCAAGGTTATTTGACGTTGCTAAGTAATAATGCGAAATCATTTATTCTGGATAATTAATGAAAAAAATTGTTCGAAAATATACCCATGCGTAGGTTGTAGATATCTTCAAACGTCAAAGCTCAGCATCTGTTGGAAATGACGAAATAGTTACTGAAGCAACGGTTTTAAAACTTATGGAGCCGTTTTTTCTCCCTTTAAACTGGGTGTAAAACTGATGGCACCAATTTCTGATAATCTGTCGTAATCGTGAAAGTAACAAACCCCGTTTCACCAATCAAATGTGGCAAACCGTCGGGCCCATTTTCTTTGTCAAATCGGAGTGAACGCATCCCGCATTGCGTCGACATCAATGCTTCAAGGTTTTTTAAAAAAATGCCTTTATTTGATATAGTTGTTTTTCATCATTGAGAGACTTTAAATTTAATAAACTCCGAACACGTTTCGTCGAGGGCAGTTTGTTGGTCCGATTTTTATTCGTCTCTCACTGCGATTCCGATTCCTCAAATGCTTGTGCATCTTCCTGACTCGAAGCTGTCAAAATGGGCTTTTTCCTGTTCATTTTCCAATTTATTGATTTTTTGCTCAGCATGGATTTCCATCGATTCGAGAGCTCGGTGACCAGGTCACTGTTGAATGACAGGTTGCGTTCATCTAACACTGTTTCCAGTCAAATTTACTTGCAGGTTAGACTTGTTGTCACGGTGTCACCACATTTCTGGTTGTCTACGTTAATCGATCATGCAAATTAAGCGCATGCCACGCACACACCTTGTACTTCAGTTTCGGTAATGTCTACTTCGCTTGACTCGGGTACCAAGCAGTGAGCAACCTCGCGTATCATGCTAACCGCGTTGTAATGGCAACAAGGCTGGCGTCGCCTCTAGAATCTATCGACTGGTAGTGCACTGTTAACGAATCATTTAGCTGACGCGTCAGGTTTTTTCGGGGAAGAACTCAAATTAGTGGCCTGGTTTTTCTGATTAACTGATATTTGACTTCAAACCACATAAAATTGAATGTGATTTAGCCGCAACATCACGACATAGGAGGAAGTTTCCATTACGCCACTCGATTACAAACAGAATGTCGGATTTTAATCGCCTACAATCAAAATCACCTGATGTAAGAAACTCCCATGATTGGCGGTCCCCGCAGAAACATAAACCTGGTTTTTATTTGAAAAAAAAAACGGAGAGGAACCTTTCCATGTAGGCAGCGGGTCAGAACTGCGTGAGCAACATGGCCATTTTCCCCGACGGGAAGCCGCTACACAAGGACCCGGCGACGGGCGCAGCGGAGTGCAAGCCGGAAGAGCTGGCGAACGCCGGCGGAGGCGCGACCCAGGCACCGGAGAGCGGTGGGACCGCCGCGTCCGTCTCGACAATCGACAACACCGACGACGTGGACGACGACAACGACGACGCCAGCGACACCGACAACGACATGAACGAGGCCACCCACAGCGTCTTTTCGAGCTCGTGAGTTTGATCACATTCTGTCGTTGTTAAGTTAGTTACGCCAGAGCGTCTGCTGGATTAGCGTGACCTAGAAACGCTGGCGTCATGCAGGTGAATCGCTAACTGGGGCTCACAAGGCAATCGGATTTGCCTCCAGCTCTGTGTGCATACAAGCGATTGTAGTCAATCATTCTCTCTTCCCGCCTGCATGGTTGTTTCTTCATTACAAAACATCAAGAAGACGTAAGTTATGACATTTGCTGGGCAGTTTGAAGTTTGCCTCGTGGAATGCTGTGAATTATCATCATTTTGTTGTCTTTCTTCGGTAAACATATTTCTACTGATAACGCCAAGTAGCAGTTGTGTGTAACCCATCAAACAAGTGGGCTTTTCGTGCAAAATAACGATGGTGACAGTTGAATGATTGCAATACATGGTTCCCCAATTCACGATACGAGTGTTAAATAGACCTCATCGATGCCCATACGGTCACCCAAAGTTGGTCGGATGCTTTTGGTGAAAGGAAGAGTAAAATTCTGTTGAAAAAACCCCTCATCGCGAAAATAAGATTGGAGTGTTAATTTCTACTTTACAAGTCAAGAGCCACTTTCACGTAAATCAATTATTCCGATGAGATTGCCTTAAATTGCACTGATTCACACTGGTTAATCCGGTCGCTCCAGTCTCCGACACGCTGATTCCCTTCCCTTTTCGCGGCGTGCCGTCCAGTCGCGGGGAGACTCAACTCACTCGTGATTAGCGCGGATGTTTATCTCTCACGACGTATGATGATAGCGTGATAGTCAGATTAGCCTCGATGTTAAGACTGCTGTGACTCACGCTGCTTCATACCTCTCAGCTATGAATACACATTTTTGCCTCGACTACTTCGTGTTGTGTCATGCCGCAGCAGGACATGGTCTAACACGTAGGAACCTCGGCGATGTTGTACAAGTTCTTGAAATCGCTATCACAGGAGCCTAAATCATTCACCCGAGGTGGTACTTATTGAACAACTAGCGATGGCATTTGCAGTCCAATTTCTTGACATTCAGATTCTGCCGAAAAACGCTGTTTGTGTTTTGCTGTCAGCAGGTAATGCGCTGACCGGTAAGCAGATTCCGATCCGTTGGCAGGTGGGAGGCCGGTTTTGAAAATGATTGAGGAATTCAAAGACTCACAGTCTATTAAAAATGGCATTTACGTCCCTAACTGCACTTTCACACTGAGCGCAAACCTACATTCTATTAAGTGACTCAGAGTACGTGAATGCTTGTGAGAAATTTGCTGAATACCGCTGACTTTGGTCTGCCTTTGCAGAGCAAAACTGCAGATTTTGTAATGCCCTTGAAGCTACCGCTATTGCTGTGTGTCGGTCACTCGTGGTTCGGGATTGGTGCCTAGCCGCACAGCCGACTGACGCCTAAGATCTCTGTTCTTTAGTCTGCCAACAGCCGGGGTACCGATGGAGGATGGGCTGATCTCTCGCATGTCAAGTGGCAACACCCTCCTCAACGGACTCAACTTCACTCTCAATCGACAGATGCTGGAGGAACTGATGCAACAGGCCAGGGAGGAACACCAGCTACGCATGGAGATCCTGCGGCTGCAAAAGCGGGTCTGGCATCTCAGGGTCGAGGCTTTGTCGAAGGGCAATTAATTTAGCAAAAAACCAAAAATCGACAGATGAGTAGGAAAGAATTGCCACATCCCCGGACACATGTGGCGAAGACGTAAATACATATATTTTGTATCATTCGTTTGTATTCTTTTTCATCTGGCTATTCGTTGAACCAACTTCCAACACTAGTGTTGTTCTGGCATTTCACTTGCAGTTCATGTTTACAAGTCGAATCGGATAACCTTTACTCTGACATGGAATTAGGCGAAAACACTAATGCTTGGGCAGTCAACGGTCGGACCAACCATAAACGAAAGCATCCAAAACACAAAATGAAGTGTTGCTAAAAAACGTGAACTTTATATGGCGCTTCATGACAACGGAACCCCTCACCCATCGATAGCTTAAACTTGGCCCAACCAATCTGCTGTGAAACTACTATTGGCGTTGGGTTGATGCGAAGCTGTTGAAAGCATTGGAGAAAGTGATTGGGCTTGAAAAAGCACACCAGGTGAATTCAGTGAACGAGCTCTAATCGGTTAATCTACAGCATCTCAAGCAAATGGTGGTTTACTACCCGGTACTCAAACTGGGCGGATAAATTCTGGTTGCGACGCGGTAAAAGCCCCGAACGGGGAAGGGGGCACGTCCGTTAAATCCCAGAACAGACGGGAATGCGCTGTGCACCGTCGTGCAGGCAGACGCGTGTGCCTGTGCGACGGTGGATGCCAGTGTGACTGAACAGTGTCAGTGCGCGAGGTGTTGGTCTGAGGTCAAGTTCAAGAGAAATTCATGTGCGCCTCACTCCACCGTAATTAGCATGTGCCACTAATTTTTGCATTTCAACCTGTCATGGCCACGTGACCAAATGCATGCCGCGGGCTTCGGTGCCGAAGGGCTCTTGTGGCATTTGCCCCATTCAGAGGCTTGATCAATTGGAGGGCACTTGGTGAATGGCAATCGAAATGCCAATGTAAAAAGCGAATGAAAAATCCCAGGAAATAGTCACCACGCCTTGTGGGGAGGGGAACAGCATCAGCAAAAGCTGAAGATCGCAAAACACCCTCGAAAACCATGAAAACGCACAAACTTAACTTGCTGGTTGTGGTAATTTCCAACGGGGTAATCGTCTTTGGCACCTCTCGTGCCTGAAATGAGTCAGGTTCATTTGCACTTTTGCCCATGTTTGTTGTTGATGTCTCTCCGGGAAATTGACCACCATCTCTGAATTGAACGAAGATACTGGTTATCCAAGAATTACCTCTATTCCTTTCCTTACATGGCTAGGTTCGATGTGTATTAATGGTGTAGCCGAGGCGGTAGATTGAGTACTTTGAGCTAACAATAAGCATTTCTAGTGCGTCAAATTAGGTCACACATCAAGGCCAAAGTTGTGCACATGACCTTCTCATAGTCTCATCAGCCAGCCATTTAGGCATTCGATGGCCTGTTAAATCATGCCATACAAGTGTGTGAAGTTGTCACAAATCATGTGAATTGCACTACAATGCACCAATAAACGCGTTTGTTCAAAGATTTCGCAAAACGTGCATTCGAACCCACTGACCTAGTTCAATTAATCCGCAATATTTCCACAAGCACCTCTTCGAAATCAGAACCGCGCCAAGAAAAGTCGATTGTTCGGGAAAAAAACAGTCCAGCAACTGCAACCAAACATGGCGGTCATTGCCCAGACAACAGGCATTTTAAAGAGAACCCCAGTTCTAGGCGCTAGACATTTAGAATGCCAGCCCCATGGACTTCAGTGCAATACCTGTAAAGGCAAAATTTGTCTTGGTGCGCACTTGGTGAAATGTTTCAAAAGCCAAGCAACACACTCCTGAGCTTGCGTCATGCTCTGCTTCCTGAAGGGGCTTACACCTTGCACCACCCGAATCACAGGATTTGACGACTGGTGTTAAGAGGCTTGGGACTCGGTCGACCCCACTTTGAGTCGCATTCTCGAAACAATGCAACGGAAATGCCCTTTATTGCCTCCTCTTTTTTATTCTACCCACAAAAAGCACACAGAATTCTTTCCCAGCCTCAATGAGCGGATAGCGATCAGGTTAGGTTTAAAAGTAAGTAGAGAGAAGCAGGCAAGGAAGTCAAAAAACGTATTCTTGTAAGGAATTAAGACCTATCGGAACCGAAATCGGATGTAGTCGAATTTGTACGCCTGATGTACCCACTTAATTTTAGAAATAAAAGCAGATATTCCAAGGTGGCTAAACGGAATACCTTTGTTATTGTTGAATCGAGAAATGCCTTATCTACAATTTCGAAACTGGACAAGAACCATCGAATCGTAACCAGAGACACCGTTGTCAACTGCGTAGATGCAACAGACGTCATGCAGTTTACTTGTGAGTTACTGACACAAAACTTGAATGCGATTAGGTCTGATAAGCTTAATGTGTAATTTACAATTTTTGGGAATTGAAAATTCACACAAAGAATTAATTCAGCTAAAGTTTTCAGGCATGCATCCATACTGAGTGCCATGATCAATGATCCCTAGCCTGATGGGTGAGAATCGTAACAATAAAATTGTGTTGATTTAAAATGAAGCAATTTTGCGTTTTTCGACAATAAGCAAACAACAATTTCCCCTTTCGGAACATTTGAAATGCGGAAATGCATGTTGGGAAGCGCATCGTAATGTCGCCACTGCACCAAGTTGGAGTGTGTCAGGCATTAAGTGGGATTTCTTACAAATCGCGCGTGGTTCGTCCATTTCACTGGGTTATAAATTAGAAATTTTCATGACTTATTTATAATTTCAAATCGGTACACCTATGACATCATCATCACCATCATCATTAGTATTTCCAAAAGGATTTTGTGCGCCGTAATGCTTTGCACACAACTGTCACTTGCGAAAGTGTGAATTACATTTAAACAGGTCGGAATAGGGAAACGGCAACGCGTAGCACGCACGCAGACAGCACAGTGGCAGTTCGATAATCCCACTGTGGCTGAAGGGGCACTTAAAATGAATCGTGATGAAAATGAAAGAAAAACTTCCCCCCCCCCCTATTAAATGACCTCGAAATTCCACTTGTACTTACAATAGACCCCCTAAACTCGAACAATTTGAACTAACCTTTTTCACCGTTAACTGAAGGTTATAATCCTGACCCCCCTGAATCCGAAATCCCCAGGGTTTGTCCAATTGCGTCCTCGTTAGAACAACAGTCTGAACTGATTCTTGATTGTTGGCGTATCCGTGGGTCCTGGAGGCAGATGCGTTGGCAATGCGGTCGATGGTCGCAGCCAAATTCGGACCATGATTCGACGAGACAGCCTGGACTTTTTGACGGCCAAACTGCGACCCACGGGAGTCCGACGTTGTCACACATCCCAGATATGTATTCATGACCAAGTGTAACAAATGGAACTCTCAAAGACGTCTACGTACACTTGGTAAAATGCCCCAAGCCAAATATTGAAGGCGCATTTCGGGCACATTCGCCACTACCTTAGAAGGGCGACACACCATTGGTTGAACTTTTTCGGTGCGTAGCAACGTGTGAAGCGCTCGTTGGTGGTTGGTTAGTTGCTGGTTTAAAAACCGGAACAACTTGTTATTGCAGCGTCGAAAACCAGGTGCCTGACGCGGCTAACTTTACCCAAACTTCGTATTCAACTACGAAGACACTAGCCTCGCCAGCTTTGCCCTTTGAACATGTCGGTGGCCAAACAAGCCTGTTTGATGCGTCGAGAATCGAACGAGTTCTGGTTTAACTTGGAAGAGGATTGCAAACTACGAGTTCCAGAAAGAACTTCGACCTCCTCTTCCGGGTGCATCCTAGTGTTTCCAAATCAGATTTTCACGTTATGGGTTATAATCTCTGCGAGAGTTTATTCATGACTTGAAAATCAAAGTACAACAGTGGAGATGAAGATGTTACCTTCTTGTATTCACCACCTCTTTATGTGTTTTAGGAATGCAGCGAGAGTTTAGGCATTCACAATTATGTACACGTCGGTTCGAGAGTGCCATCCGACAGTTCACTCGACGCCGGTCGTGAGGTAGATTATCCAGTTGGTTCTATATGATGTAATGTGTCAATTCACGCTCGTTAACTCGGCCTACCCATATCAAGGATCCAGCATTTCCCCATAACTGCCCATCGCGGGTTAGGATTTTTTTAATTCCCCGAAACAGACTACTTGATTGGTTCACCCACAGCACCATGCTGACAGCTACATCTGTGTTAGTCCGCCTTCATCCACCAGGTCAAGGTCATTTCTGGCACATATAAGTGGGCACATCCCGACAGGTCACCCGGCCCTTGGCTAAGACATTAAAAGCTCTCCGCACCAGGCGGGATCTAGCGTCAGACGAGGGATCTGGGGTGCCGGTGACTTGAGTGCGTGACAAAACGTAACAACCCACGACCTTACCTTTAAATCATAAGAATCCACCCTGCCCAAATTTGCGCGCTTAAGCAATCCCACACACCACGCCACCGTTGTCATTAGGGAAAGCAGCTGCCCAAGGCCACGTGCAATGTGTGAGCATTCGCGTTCGTGTGTACACACGCACACACACACACAGGCGCGCCCTCTTTGTTGCATCCTCATCGAGCCGTGTTTAAAAAAAGTCGAATGGAAGATTGCTGATCGGCAAAAGATTGATGTAACAGCAAACCACGAGGTTCGGCAGGACCCTAACAGACCAAACTAGTGCTGGCAATCGAGAATCAACCCCCGATTTGAAAAGCCTAGGAATAATTAAAATTCCCTATCAATCCACGCAATAAGAGATTTGCCTAAGTAGACGCAAAGAAGGTTTCTTTGTTATACAAGACGACTGGCAAAAAGTCCTTTTAACTAGCTTCCCCTGAAGGTGTCAGAGAGTTTTCTACCGTCTTCTGAGGAGGTGGTGGTGGACACGGTTGGCGCGAATCGAGGGTGACTGTAACCGGACCGTCGTTAACCAAAGACACGTCCATCATCGCGCCAAATATTCCATCTAAATAAAAAGATAGGGGTACATTACACTCACTACTACCGTTACCGTGACATGCAACAAGCCAAATACATGGTGAGGCTAAAATGTCCATTTTTTTTCGATATTAGGAATGGAACCAGGCATTACGAGCACAATCAGGTTAATTGCCAATGTGCGAAGTGAGTGCTGCCCTTGCAACGACAGGGTATAACTAAATCGGAAATGCAAAACGGTCACACAGGCTAGTTCGAGGTACAGAAGGAAGACTTGTTGGTGCGGTGCTTACCACTGGTAACCCATCTGAAACGACAGGTTTTTTATATTCAGGAGACACATCCGAAGCAGCCCCAAATAGTCCTACGTTTTCAAGGTTCTACGTCGCAAAACTTGGCCTTGAGCAGACATCAAGGTACTCGGTTAAATTACTCTCCTGCTTAGCTGTCAACTAGAAGCTGCTCACACCAAATATTGCGATGGAAATCATTCAAATAAAACCAAGCATTTGTGATTAGCAAAATTACCAGGGTAATGGCGTCTTTTCGACTTATTTGTGCTCCAGTAGAGGAAAACAATCTTGTTATTTAAGAACGACCATTAAACTGACAGGGTAGTAAATCGCCGACTAGAAACGCCCTTTAGGCTGACTTCCCCCTGAAAGCAACCTCCTGCCTTTTTATGCTGCCCTAGAGGCCATACATTAAGTCACACAGGCGCCCTTGTGCACTGAATGCCGGCGCCTGCAGCGCAATCAAATACGCCACAATAAACCGCTAACTCAGAAGAACTTGGTTTGGGAGGGGGAATTTAGTTAGGAGTGAAAATATTTCAGGCCGATTCAAGAGTGTTCCCGTGTACACCCGTGGTAGCAAGCACTTTGCCCCTCCTTCCTCGGTAATGCCTGTGGTGAATTCTCCTTTAATCTACAATAATAATTATTATTATCATTATTCGCATTAAATTGACACTCAAAATTGATGATTAAGGCGAAGTGATAAAGAGCGCCATTGCTGGCGCATCGACGAGGAAACGGCGTTGTCGAGAAAATGGCCAACTTGTGTAGCTCTTGAACCATGACACACCCTTTAATCCGGTCGCTCCACCTCCGACACAGAGTTCCCCTTTTTAGCTGCATGTGGCCAGCCGCGCGAATCCTCAACCCCCCCTTCATTCTCGGACTATCCTGAAACCTAGGTCTCGATGTTAGCGCAGTTATGACTTACACATCCGAGCTATAAATGCACACGCGAAAACCGCGCGCACCATCACAGCTTCGTCAAGTTCTCGAACAAACGGTTGACTCTCTGTCCTTCCACCGACTTCATCCTTATTGGGTAGTTGGTGATACATGGCGTCTCAACAACACTAAACCAAGGACACACCACATCTCAAGCCTGCCACCGAGGCGAACCCACGACAGACAAGGGATCCGAGTTTGATCCCCCCATATACCCAGGTTAAGACACAACTCCAGAAAGTGCAACTTAATGGAATGAAATCATCGAAGAGGTACTTGTTACAAGGGCGGAGGGGAATGTGCACCAGGAATAATAGAACAACGCTGACAGCCACTGATGAACTGACGGGGATCAGCGGGTGGAAGCGCGACCCCGAACCGAAGCAACCAAAGGGTTTAACGCCACTGTGGAGGAACTACACACTTCGAGATGTTTAAATGCGGCACCGAGCAAATCGTCTTGCACACACAAAAAAACGCTTGTTTAGCCGACTCACGAAACAGGTCTACACAATCACGAGGCAAAATTTGTCAAGACAAAGTGCTGGACCCTGTCTGGGCGGCTTCGTCTCACCCAGTCACAACACACAGCCAGCTCGGCGCACCAAAAAAAAACACAAGAAATAGCCGCCCTTAAAATGTCAGAGTTAAGAAAAAAATACCTCAAGTTGGTAAAGGTTAATGGCAAAATAATCCGTCTACTAGTTGCAATGCGGAACATTGCTGTAGCAATCGAAGAAATAAGAATTGGCTACCTATTTGCCCCTAACTTGCAAAGGACACGAAAGCTCGCTGTTTTTTCTCCAATGAAAAAGTTTTATGCTCTACCTCACTGCAAACCAACAAGGAGGAGACTTTTGAATCAGTCGAATTGGCGGACGCGACGTGCGCCCAAGCGAATTGGGACGTGGACAGGCGCGTTGCAAGTACACCTTTGAAAGCAGTGCCTCCACGATAAAAAACTCGGACTCATTTACATTGGAGTGATTTAAAGAACATAGGTAAGATGTACCAAAGTAAATAATAAATGATTTCTCACGGAGCCAATCAGAATCGCTTGAAATCAGCAGAAATGCAAAAAGTAGCAACAAGCTGCCTCACAAATAAGATACGCAAAAAATAATTATTGATACACATGCATTCACGGAATACACCACAACCATCTCTTGGAGTCTAAATGATTATTAGAAACGTGGGACAGGGAATCTCCTTTGATACTCAGAAACAAAACCCAACATTTAAACATGGTAAAGAGAAGACGAGTTTGACAAACAGAGGGAGATCATAATCCGACAATAACATCTCCCATTTTTAATTCGTCAAACCGAAAAAAGGCAAGATTGGGTTCGAAAGCAGAGTTGTAAGGCGAAAAACAGGATTTATTAATAAAAACGAGGACAAGTTAGAGGTTGTTGAGGTTCCCGGCATGTTGCCTTGAACCACGCCGGGGTCACTGTGACAATCTACGCCGATTACGCTATAGTGTGTGCCCGCGAAAATAAAGAGGACCAGAGTAGAGAGGGCACAACCGTTTGCGAGACAGTCCAACCTAGTTGTGTTGTGTTAACTGATACAGTTGTGTGGACTAGTAGAAATACAGGCGTCTGAATGGTCACATGGATAAGAGGCTGGCGGTGGTGGTACACACAGAGGTGTGAATGAGCAGGCGGTCCCAGTGACTGACGGGCACGCCGTGGAAAGGGGAGACGTGTGTGAGAGGCTGCGACGACCGGGGTGTTAAACGTGAATCAACACGACTCACTACAAGGTCAATTAAGGGCTTCTTAGGGCAACCCTTTGCCTCTACCACCTTCAGCAAACACCAACCCTCTGAGGTGATAGCGGCCCGAGGAAGCGGCAGAGTCGAGCACTCGGACAAGTCTGATGAGTGACCGTTGATTGCAACTGTGGGCGTACGGCAGCACTTTTTTTCCAATTCAACGGACAGAAATCACAACCAACGGAATTATCTTCCCAGAAAACTTGGAGCTTACAAACGGTGGGGATGCTGTCACCACAAGTACCACCCAACAGTCGATGCCCCAAATTTGTTGTGTTGGTTGTCAAAATGTCTTAAGGTGTCACTTAACGGAGCTACTGCAAGTAGGACATTTGAATGCCATCTCGCATCACCAGTGGGGAAAAAGTAATGCTTAGGGCAAGTAGTCCTTTATTAACGCACGATACGCCACTTTGCTTTCATTGCATACTTTCCATATAAATTTGTCCACAAAAAAACAATCAATTTTACACCTTTTAGAATTTTTAGGCGAAGAAAGAGGTGCAACTTGACACAAGAGTTACTTGCTACCACGTCATTCCTTGAAGCAAATTTCGGGCTCTGCTTTAGATACCTTTAGGTTAGTTGAGAAACCTTCAGAGTCAAAGTACTTTTGAGGCTGAAGTTATAAGGTTATCTATGAAAAATACAGGAGACCAAAAGAGCTCTACAATCAAATTTCTGTAAAGACTACGCGTTCAAACCGTCCAAAAGCATCCAAAAGATTCGCATGCTCGTGAGCCGATTTACCCGTCAAACGGTGGAACTGCGCATCAAAGCCGAACAAAAGAACCTCGTGGAAATACCTTTGACCTTGTCAGCATCCTGATACTCCTTGCGTACCTTCACCAAAAAGGCTTCGTACAGAGTCTTTGAGGCGTCCGGGGCCATGGCAAGGTGAAAGTCCAACTTGTTTCCCTTCAGCAGCGAGTGCAACGTGAACTACAAGCGAGAGGAAAGGCAAAATTCACATCAACTGGCTCCTTCGAGTACCTAGGCGCTGTCCCATTTTAATCAAATCGATTCTTTCCAAAGGCAAGCACAGGCTGTTTCCTTTTGGTGGCGACTTCATTCCCCTTGCATGAAACTCCGATTCCCGAAGTACATGGATTTGATAACCGCAGCAGCTGAGTTGGGATTCGAGGAGTTACAACACGATATTGGAGGCTCTTTCAGCATTGTTAGAGCCTTGGTTAAGAGTTAGTTATCCACACAGCCAACTGCAATTTTACCCAAATGGAATGTGTCCAAAAAGCACCAAGACAAAAAGGAGAGCCTGTGATTATCCAAAAGACAAACCCCGGAAGCCTGATGGATTTAAGCTTGATATCGAAACAATGAGCCACACGAGGTGAGTACATTCCGCGTGAAGTAAGTTTGTTATTTCAGAGTTTGTTTAAATGGAGTTCTGTTTACTTTTATTTGCGATTTCTCACGGTGAGGTTCTGGATCGCCGTTGTTGCGCATTTAGTCATAACAATTAGGCGTCAGGAAGTAATAACTAGTGAAACCATTTTCGGACACACAACATCATGTTAATTGCATAATTCTTCTGTAGTTAAAATCTGTCTGACCGCTTCCCACGTCCACTCACGCCTCAAGTGTTGACCTTGAACATTCCCTTTTGGTGTGACCAATCACTGCTAATCTTCAATGTTAATACCCAATGATTCACGCTCAACGCTGATCGCCCATGCGACATTTAAAATACACGAGAACAGCCAATGGTGTGCACACCCGGACTCAGCGGCCTTTAAAGCGCTTAAGCCTCTACTAACTGGGTCTCCTACTTGTTCTTCGGGTGCCCGGCTTCTAATCATGTCGCACCAGTAACAAAAAATCAGTTGCACCGATGTGGTTGTAAGATTCACATCCAGGTCCTTCAACACTCCTACTAGCGTTTATTGTTCACAATGGGTTTGTGAAGTGGTGTGGCCCAATGACACTGACCTGGGCATCCCAATTTGGGCGAACAAGGTCAACGGAAGTGCAGGCACACACTCGACGGAGCTCGCTCAAAAAAAAACGGTTAAAACGGGGCTGCGAAAGAGGAAACAAGTTCGAAACAAACTCATCAGGATGCAATAAAGCCACCCAGGCGTTTTGGCAGCGCTGGCAACACAAACCGCCATGGACGCGTGCGTAATTAAACCAAATCCTGCGGATCTTTGTGAATCGGGCCACACTAAAGACTCGGGTGAAGGTGCTAACCATACACAGATCAAGTTCCAACTTAATGGAATGGAATCATCGAAGAGGTACTTGTTACAAGGGGGGAGGGGAATGACAAAACGACGTTGACAGCCACTGATGAACTGACGGGGATTAGCGGGAATCCCCTTAACACATTATTTTTTTTGTTTATTTCAATGAGAGCAGAACGAAAATAACTTTAAGAGGTTGCTGGCTATTGGTTTGGAATAGCGAACTGCTAGCACAATCAGATACGCCGGCGTCCGATGTGGGTTGGCTTGGCGACTAGGCGGTTCCATGATCCTTCCCGATTCTGCCAATTAAAGTTGCTGCATGTGATGAAAGTTTGGGGGTAAAGCGCAACTTCCAAGTACTATCAGCGGTCAGAAGTAGGTGACGAGTGGTGGTGGCGCTTCATTACTGAAATCACGGGGCTGTTGAGTCAAGATCTGATTAAACCAACCAGAGAGAGGGAGGAATGAATGAATGAAGCACCTGTTATGTTGACTAAGGACGTCTAGCGGACGCGCCAGGATGCATTGGAAGGAAAAGGCAGTGCTGCTCCCAAGCCTCCTACACTAGTCTGACGCGACGGTAAGCAAACTTAGAGGCAACAACACACGGGAATCAACTAAATAAAGCTGTTCGGCAAAATTCCATGGACTTGAAGGTGATTTTCTCCGAAGGCAAAGCAAAATAGAAAGGGGGCAGAATGCCATCTCGGAAAAAAAAATTGACAAAATGCTGGAGTTGCGTAGACTAGCGTTTTAACGATTTAGTTCACTGTCTCAACCGCTCGCGGTAGGTAAATTTATGCCTACAGAAGAACACAGACAAAGTGAAATTTACTGAGCAATATTTCAACTGACTGGTGATTGATGTAAGCGTCTTGTAACTTGGGGATTTCGTTTTTCCGAAAAAACCTGAGGCCGGCAGGACAGAGAGATATCTTTGATTGGCTAGACAGTGTGCGGCGCCTAGCCGATTGGAAAAGACAGTGCTTGTAGATAACGCAGAAACAAAAAAAACTTGACCTTTGACTAAACCGGCCTAATGTTTAGTAAAAAAGTGCACTTAAAGGGCGACTGGCACCTGAGAAACACAGAGAATCTCACCACCGACGTCCTTGACGCTCTTCCCCCACCGACTGTGCTTCTCAGCATCCTCGAAGATCCGCAGGTTGACGATTTTTCGCGCCCTTAAATCGAAAACATTTAACCAGGTCATTTAAATCCGACGCTGTTACCTCTTCTGCTTACAATGACAAAAAGATTGAATTTTTTGTTACCAAGCCTATGAAGACAAAGGGGCTGAACATTCGGGGTCGATTGAAGCACAATTTTAAGCAACCGATTTGGCGTGGAATTAATTTAACCAAAAGGCAAGTTAATAGTTGTGATCGGAGGATTAAAAGTGCGCACATTGCAGCGCACGTAGGTGTGTGTGTGACTCCCAGAAATTGCAAACACACCAATAAAACTGGTGTAGAGTGGTAAGCAAGTCACCGCCACTCCAAGACCAACAGCCGAGCGCGTTATTGTTAAAACCATTTAGAAGTTAGGGCGATATATTCAGACACGCAAGATGGCCAAATCGAGGACCTTCCGAAGCCTCAATAGATGAGGTTGCCAAGGTGTTCCAGTGAGGGGAGTGGGAGATAGGGCATTGCCGACGTGGTCTAGATATTTTGTCAACAGCCAGAACAGGCGTGCATTAAAAAACGCTCTGAAGAGGTACAGGAAAGTGTTCCTTCACGCACATGTAAGCCGCGTCCTTTTCGTCGTCGTCCCGTGAAATCCCCACGAGCACCATCAGCCCCCGGCCGATCTCACTAACCAATTGACCGTCCACTGAAAAACGAAAAGCCGAGTTAGCGACATGCTGGTATCCCAAAGTGGGCAGCGGTTAAAGGGGTTTCCGCTCTCCAAGGCCATAATAAGTGCCCGACTTATTTGCAATATAAACGGACAGATAAGGACGTACATCCTTAGTGTGATAAGTGCTGTGAGCAGTTAGATTCCAGAGTAACGATTTAGATCATTGACTAATCGCGTCACAGTGTGCGTATTTTTACCCAATCAACCTTAGCAAGGGCTCGGACCACGACAAGCTTCAAGACTTAACAAAAGGCGCACACAAAAAAGGCCGATATCAGTAAACCCCAGTAAATTTGTGAGATCGCTGCAAAAAATGGCATTCCAAAGAAAAAAAATACACAGAAGGCAAATGTACCGTGTACGGAGGCGCTTTTAACTCGCTGTATCACAACGCGCATGAGCCTTCAAACTCTGCAAGTCATAAAAAGAGGAAAAACGTTAGCGACACATTTACAAAGTTAATTTTTTGTGTTTATTTTCAATCCCTCATGTCAGGTGAAAGTGGCAATCAGGAGAGAAAAACAGTCAAGTGACCTTAGAAACAAAAAAATGTAAACACCCGTCAGTGTGGAAGTGAAAACACGCTGCCAGCAAGAAGGCAGCAGGCAAAAAATGCTTCCTAAACCTCAATACTTCCTACACACGGTCGTCGTCTGAATATACCTCTTACCACCTGAGTGTTCAGACTGGAAAGCGAGAAAACAGCGTTATGGGAAAGCCAGGAGTCCAAGGACTTCGTAAAGTGAAGTCCAATGCACGCAAACTAGCAGAGCACGGGGAAACAATTTAAGAGGGTACAGGCCATGGACGGCGCACGCTCCACACGAATATATCACGAAAACACGTGATGAGCGAATCCAGAGGAGGTAAACCACGTAGGGACTGGACGAGGATGGAGACATTGCTTATAGTGGCGTTCAAATTTCGATCACAAACCTATCAACAATTAGTATGGGGAAGCCGTTTCCAGCAATGATTAAGTTATGGGCACGGCTGCAGTCGAGTGAGGTGAAATGTTTAACTTCTGTTGGCTGTATTTTACTGGCCCAGCTGTCGGAGAAGCTGTGCTGTGCACACCTATCAACGGCAGTCCTGCTTAGTGGCTCCAGATGCTTTCGAGTAAAAAATGCCACTACTTCCAGAGGCTATAAATATTTTCGCACTGCGGTGTGTGCGCTACCTCGATTTAAACGAAAGAAGCACCATGGACATGCACTGGTTCACCGCCAGTACAAACCACCGAGTGCCGTCTATGCTCTAAAGTGCTAGCAATGGTTCAAGCATAGAATACGCCCCGGTCACGCCACTCTCCAATACACGGAGCTTACACCTCCAGAGCCAAAATCTTGAACTCTGTCATAGGCAAACCATCCACTGGATTTTAAACTCATGACAAATTCACCAACAGGATGTTCGCCTTGGTTTTCTTCTGTACGTCATATTAAAACACAAACCGAAGGATATCGCATATGTTCTCAGTTTCACTGGATTTTACGAGACATTTTGTAGCAGTGGTGGCGCAGAGACAAAATCACGGCGTCCACACGCACGCAAAAAGTGTTAGTGGAAAGCCTAACCCCACGAGCAGGTTGGTACACGTGACTGGCCAGTGACTACTGCATCCCTCCCCGGTCGTTCAAAGTTTATTTTTTTTCTTGCCTCAGTGGGTTGGAGTTGAAGGGTAGGGGATCAAAAGTGACAGCCATTTCTAGAGCCATTGAATTGCTACCACTGGCCAACGCACTGCACAACGGGCAATTGGTCAACAAACCAGAGGTTTGACCAAGAAGCAATGGGGGATAGGATAGTGAGTCCTGATTGGTGAATTTACAATGGCACAATACATACAATGAAAGTAAGAGTTTTCTTTTCTTGCTGTTTCGCTTGCACAATAAACACAAAGCATTCCTGTAGTCCAGCCTACAAAAAGAAAGGGCTTGCAGAATAAAATTGTTATATTTACGCTTATACATACACAAACGTAACTAAATGGGTTATAAAAATAAGCGCGACCATAATGCGGCGGGAAATCTAGTCACTGATTTTGCGAAAGAGCGAGGCCAAACGCCTGCCGAGTTCGCTGCCACGAGCAACGTGCGAGTCGGTGAACCCGTCCGAGGCCCGCTCCAGACAGGCTATTGTCTCGGCCAGTTTGACGAGGCAGGCGTCGACGCTGTCGGTGAGTCCCGTCGCGTCGGTGCTGGGTGTGCGGGGTCGTTTCTGGTCGCCGATTCCCGGGCAGAATTCTTGCAGTTTCTAGCACATAAACACACACACAATAGCTAAAACACATGAACCACCTAATTAGTATACCACGCTTAAAAGATCTTGACAACTCGTACTTCAGTCTACCTGCATACCCGGGTTAAGATAAATAAGTAAATAAAAGACATTTTTCAATCCTTGCGAGTTCCCTGTATCCCATTGCTTCGCCCTCGTACGGAATCATGTGACACTCAGTGTAAGTACCGAGAAGGGAAGATTTGCTTGGCTATGACAGACGCCTTACCAGACAGGCGAAAACAGAGAGACTGTGGTGTCAAACCCTGGAGTTTTTTAGGCTGATTAAGAAACGTGCACATCTACAGGTTACCACGATTCGTGGAAAAAAGGAAGATTGGCCTGACTATACCAGAAAGACTGCACTGTCAGACTCCAGTGAGTTTAAGTCCGATTAAGAAACGCGTACATCTTTCCCTTGAGATTGTAACACAAAAGATCACTTGCCGTTTTGAGATTTTCAACAACCAGACGAGTGAGCCCACAATTACTCGTCAGCTCTGTTTGGCATAGAGGAGACCAAACAGCAGAAAGCTAAAATCCAAAAAAAAGACACGAAAAAGTTAGTTGTCCGGTGGAGACAAGCAGATGGATCAGGATCGTTCAAATATGCCCGACAATTACGAGAGATTTTTTGCGGACACTTAGAGCTGCACAGCTTTCGAGTGACGGTTTAAATGGTCGGTTGTTTAAAACGGTGGAAGCATAGAGGTAATGGCTGCCATAATTGGCAAAAATGATGCACACAATTAGTACGCATCTGGCGTGCTTAAGCAGGGCTACATGAATGACTTGCACTCGTGTCCATTTGGGAATACAGTGAAGACGATTTTTACCAAGGCCAGCGTCAATTAGCCAAATTCTTGCTGCTTTCGTTGAATAAAGTTTCGTTCAAGATAGCGGCTCCAAAACTGCAGCGTGGCAAAGATGTGCGGCATGCACTCACCCATCGGTGTGAAGATGGGAGCGGGCTGAGGGGACCACGAAGGGAGGCCAGGCTGAATGAGGAAAGCGGGTAGGACAGGGAGTTCGACTGGTCGGAACCTTTGGGGCCACACGCCAACACCCAACGTGAGATGGCGTCGATTGCAGGCAAGGCAAGCCCGTCTCGGCATGACAGCTTCAACTGGTTCAGCAGCAGCTGCGAGTAAAGGGACACCATGCAAACAACGCAGCTAGCGGGTTTAAATGGGACCACTGGAATAATTTCGGAAGTAGGCCTCCCGATTTTAACAAAGTCGAACAAAGGGTTGAAAAAGTGGCACTTTTGGATGAACGACAAGTAGACAGATACGTCTACCGACTAAACTAGCTGAATCCGTCGGTAGCAGACGAAGAAAGGGCAAGAAGTCGAAGGGAGTAAAACGAAATCAAGGGGACATAAATATAAGACCAAATGTAACAGCACGAGGTTGTTCAAGAGACCCAACAAATTAGGACCCCGCAATCTAGCAGCATTTCTGACTAGCATTTAGTCTCAGCAACTCTATGAGCACACAGTTCATAATTCGGTCATTAACGCATGGTGAACTAATGGTGAAAGGGTGAAAGAGGCGAATCGAACACAGCCTTCCAACCTGCCACTCGGAGTACCTGAATTAACTCGCGACTTTCGGTCGTGAGGTCGTCGTGGCCGTCGGCAGTGGCGAGGTAGAGTAGTCGAGGGAACCACTTGGAGACAACGACTGTGATGGTCTGAATGCGCGCCGAGACGTCGATCTGGCGCAGCAGAGACGGAGGGGCAGTGAGGGGGGGCGTGGGGTCGACGTCGTAGGTGGCAGCTGCGGCACACAGATGGGCCAGCGAGGTCGAAAAGGGCACCAAAGAGGCGGGTGGGAGGTCTTCGGTGAGCCGGAGACATACAAGCTAAAAATCGAGAGACTGCGATCAAAGCAAGGTGCATTTAGAAAACAAAATTTACCCGGACCCCGTTAGTCTATGATTGCAGATATCATTTTGATCAAGCAGATAGGTTCTTTTCTAACCTGGTTGACGGTCTAAGGACTCCCACTTAAGCCTGATCCTGCAAAAAGGCTTAGAGAAAACGGAATTGATTAGTGTCGTAAAGGTGTCTAGTTGGCCCCTTTTTCCAGTTTAATATGCGAAGAGGTTTTGCCAACGCTACCAATCGCAGCTGGACTTGTCAAAAGCCCCTAAGGGGCACGGCATTAGCAGACGACGGTGACAGAAGCGGCTGGCGCATCTTCGAGGTGCGAAACCAAAGCCTTGCAGGTAAGTCAGACGTTTGACGCTCTCGACAAATAAACAAAAAATGCATCAAGATGAATTCACTACGCACAACCCAGGGAATTTCCTGACATCCACACATAATCAACAAATTATTAGGAATCGATTATTATGCGAGGTGCAATGTGAGGGAATTCCACCGCTTCAAATTATGGTCGATGGAATTGAAAGAGCTCGAGTCAGGAAGTAATGGAGAACTGGCCCAGGATCCAACACCAGATCTGTTTTCTAGTCCAGACTGCGTTTCCTCCTCGTCTGACTATCTTAGCGAACAAATCTCAAACACCCAACAAAGCCGACTTTTTTTTCTAGACATGCAACCGTTCCTTCGGCGGATGATGGCGCTAACAAAAGTGACTAGCAATCAGGAGCAATAAACTAACAGAATAGCGTGGAAAGCTAGCTTTAGCCGAAACGGGAACTCGATCTGTTCGGGTGGGGCGAGTACTTTAGTGCCACGACACAAGACCGGAAAGACATCCAGCCGTACTGCCAACTGCAAATGGTGTGAACACTTCAGAAATACGTGTACTTGGCATTACGCAGGAAGAACTAGCAATTCAAACACTGGGACCAGATAGGGGGACTGCTTAACTTCTCAAGTAAGGTTACTTACACGGAGAACCAACCATTACTTGGTGTACAGAGGCCTTTATTGCTCTTGAGTAGGAGAGAAATCTGTTGCATGAATTCAAGCTAAATATGAAATCATAAATGGAAAGTCATTCGTCCGCAGGATCAAGCTTTCCGGTTTTCCACGACACACTACAAAGTGCAATCATGCCGAATTCGCTTGGCCTTTTTCTACAAACGCATGGCTTGTGACTGCGCAAGTGTACGTTCCACGCAGGCGTGCTTTTGAGGGATTCAACTGGGCTTTGTGGGCCTACAAACTGACCCGCGACTTTAGTTAGCTTCGAGTTTTCCACCACCTGGGTCTCCCAATAAATTTACCCATTCGCATTTCAAAATAGAAGGCTGCTGAGATTTGCTTAAGAGCACGGGGATGGGGGTACGAGCGCGATATAACTCAAAGCAGCACACACTAGACCGATGACAGCCAAGAAGACGATCCGCTCTACCTCGGTTCCACAGGTTACCTCGCGGCTGCTGTCGAATGCACACAAAGCCAAAGGTTACATGCATACACCGATAGAAAACAAAACCGATTCGTTTGGTTTGTATTAATTTCCCACGCCCACAGCACACAGGACCGCTCACAAGGGCTCGCCCAGTGTTGATCGCGTGGCAGATGAAGTGGCCAATCCAACACAGCGGCCAGCCAGCGATGTGGACACAGACACTCAACGGTCCAAAGCACCCCCCCCCCCTTTTCGGGCGAAATGAGAGAGGGAGAGAGCCCAGAAAGACCGATTTGCTTGTTTGTCTGAGAAAAAGCAAGATTTTCCCACGAGATGGACTTAGAGCGTAGTGTTTTGATAACATTCACGGCATCTTGAAAAAAAGGTCCAACGATGAGACATGAACATCGCACCTACACAATTTGCTCGCCAGGCGGAAGGGTGGGTAACAGCTAGGTAGGCCTCAGACAACAATTCGTTCCCCCCCCGAGGAAAGCGACAGGGGAAAAAAGATGATCAAATCACTGACACTAGCACTTGTAAATTAGACAAGTAGTTTATCAAGAAGCAAGAACAGAAACGACATTTGGTAATACGTAACAGCAATGTAACTAGACGCCAGAAAGAGGTTGTTTTCAAATGACGGGAGAGTCCAGTGAAAGACAAGACGGTGGCTACTAAAAGCACAGGACTGTGTGGCAATAATTTTGGCCGAAATAGTACGTTCACACGTGACTCGAAGTGATTACCACCACCACCTCTGGAATTAATGCAGTGCGAAGTGACTACAATTAGGAGGGCCCGAAGGATGGGAATCCTTCCTACAGAGATTGCCAAATTACCTTGCGGCAACCAAAGCAGTGAATTATGGCTCACGCACACTCTGCATTCCTTCGTGCACTTTATTAAACCCGATGTACACAAAATCCCGGTTGGGGCATCAGCAAACACTGATTTACACAGCAGGTCTTCGGATTAACTAGAAAACACGTAAGAAGGAAACTTAGCGCCAACCGACACCCCTGCAAAGGGTGTCAATTCCCAGAAGGTCCCCGCCGTTCAGCACAAAATCCAGAAGAAGCGCATTAGACCGGTTCAATGCTGGGGAAAGGCCACTAGCAAACCAAACTCGCAAAATTGTCTCGGCTCATTTTCATGTGTGTGTAAGCAAAAAAAGTCAGTAGTGCTTGAGGTAGATCTTAATGCTTAAACTCACCGCGTCAATGAGCCAGGCAGGTGACTTGGGCTGGGTGAGTAGGAAGTTGACTCGCTCGAACACCTGCCGCTCCACAAGCGGACGAATTGACGCCTGGAGTTGTGAGCTACCGACAACGAGGAACCGCCAGAGCAGAGACTTCTCAGTGGCGCCGCGACCGAGACTATCGAAGAGGGGGAATGTCGACAGAAACTCGCGCTACAAAATAAACCGACGAGTCGTGGTAACACACTACCATAACTTTATGGTGCCTCGTCTCTCATTAAAACGCAGATTAAGACGGACACGTAGATAAGTCAGTTGGATTTACCGGATAAGAGGCAAATGGTAGGCGAGAAAGTAAACCATCCTAATCTAAACTGACATGTGTGCGAAATGTTAGCCAAGACGCAGACGCTAGTTCTTTGAGAGAAAACATGACCTTAAATAACGTAGAATTATATGTGTCGGAGATAAAAACATGAATGTATCTGGAAGACATTTAAATGGAGACAAAGTGGCATTGTCTTAATACACATAAAGTTAAGCCTTTCGATTGAGAGTGTTCGCACGTCGGTTCTCAATCTGGATTAGTTAAACGCCGTTTTGACAATGTGGAAGCAGACTGATCGCTCCCAGGTTCATAAAAAGCGCACATGCGGATTAGACTTGCAGAAACCGAGATTTTAAGGAGATTCTGAGAGCTACTTACGACACCCGCGATCTAAGATAGTGACTTGTCTTCACAAGATGGATAAATGATACAAAAGGCCTCACTGTGGTTGGGGATTTCAGGCTCTTTCGTGGGTAATGAGGACGTTACCTGTTGTCTGGCAGTAAGGAAAACGATGAATCGACTCAGCAGGCAACCAAGTCGCGACATCTGCTCGAGGACGCCGCAAGGCGGACACCCACCAGACGCACCGGCCTCGTAGCGCTCCGCCAGACACATGATCACACCGGCAAGAAGTGTCACGTACTGCCAGCAGAGGTCAGCACTGCCGTACCTGTCGGAAGTGCAATGTAGGAACCGTGACCAATTGGGTGACAAGTAACGCTACCGTATTTGGGTAAAACGAATTAATGATTCTCACAACACGACCTTTCAGGAAACCCCATATTTCAGTAGTTTCGTAGAAACAGAAAGAAAAAAGACAGTATAGTGAAGTTCATTAATATGCAAGTGAGCCAAAAGTGTAGAGTTTATTAATACACATAACCCTAAAGCTCCAAATTCATTATTCATATTGTTAGTAAGTGAATAGTTGTGTCCCTAAGCTACCGACGCAACCCTGTCTTTATCTTTTACAATGTAAGACTAGATTAAACAATGTGTTTATAGGTAGTAAAGAGGCGGTTTCTTTGGACGAAAACAGAAAACTATAAGAAGACTAAACCAGAGAGACTAGAGCATCAACCAAGCGTTTTCAGGGACCCGCGTGGCAAAGCAGGCTCCATTCTTCCAACAGACAGCGTTTCCAGTTACTCACTTGAAATTCACTGGGGTTGCGTGTGGGTGGTTGTGTGTCATGGGAACAATTGTTACAAGTAAACAACGCAGTATTGGGGGAAATGGTTGGTTTGGCTGCAGATGGCAAGTCACCGAACAAAGCGGGTGGAACCTGTTCCGCCTGGCCAAGCCCCATTTTGTTCCAAGTCTTGCACACACACACACACAACAGATCCCGTCCCAGAAGGCACCGCGCGACATGCAGGTGCACACACACACACACGAAGGAACCGTGGAACAATACTAGCATTACGAATAGCCACAGCAGTCACTGACACAAGGGGCTTCATTTACTAGGAAAAGGCCCGTGTGCTGTTGTTCTTGAAAGTTGTGCTCTTGTCTGACAAAAAGGACAAGAACCAGTGCATCTTCGTATAGCAGAATTATAGACACAGTGGGAATATTACTCTTCAGCTGTTCACTATACAGGAGTTCCTGATTCAAAACACAAACGTCATTGGCTCAACAGCAAGCACCCAATGGCTTCGGGCAAAACTTGCGTTTAAAACTCGTGCAGCGAGGAAAGCAAAATGTCTACAACGTCACTCTGTTGGGGATCCACGATCCCCAAGATTGCTTTCTGATGCTATTCACGTTAATTCTCTAACATTTGTTTCGTTACGCTTTTCATCAAGTCAAGGTCAACCCTGACTTGAATTAGTTTCACTTTCGATTTCACTTCTTCTCTGCACGTGGTTGACGTGAATAAAGCTCTCTACTCAAGCTCTGACCTTGTTCTTGTATTAGCCTGGCAAGGTCGGTTCTAGCTTCAGCAAGGGATCTGGTACCGTTATTTGAGTGGTCTTCTCTTTGTTACGGGCAAATATAACACACTCAAACACTCCAACAAAGTGCAAACAAAAAATATTTCAACCTACGGCAGCGGTCTTCACCGTTATCGTCGGCCCGTTTTACGATCGCAACATTTGGCTACTTAGTTAACATGCATTCCATCTTTACTATCTTTGTGTGCGAATTGCTAGTGCCATTTACTAAGGCTTAAAGACGGTGCTGGCCAGTGCGTAAAGTCTTGAGTTAGAAGGAGGGTAACAGAAAGGCCGCGAACTTGGCAATCAGTCGATTTTTACTTGAGAAAAAAAGCACTCAGCTACTTGTCAATGCAAGTCCAAGCCTAGCACACAGAAATGCCGTAGACAGCCACAGGCAACACATACTTCCAAGTAGCATTCGTGTGGTCGTCATGCTTAATCCATTGCCAGAGTCAAGACACCAAGAACGGCTCTAGATTTTGCATTTTGCTCGAACCAGCACGAGATGACCCACATCTTTGTAGTGAAGTAACCAGCAAGTCATTCTCATTCATTTACACAGCTGGTTCGAACATGTTTGGCAGCCGATGCACGCAAACATCGCTGAGCGCTAGCCCACAACCAGGCGACTGAGGATGCTTGCTAAGCGTCAAGTAAGTTCGGTACCACGTAGTTTAAAATAGAGCTAATTATTTATGGCATGGCTCAGATGCTTCGCATTCCACACGAATACGTGAGAGGATAAGGGAGGCAGTGGAAACGTGACGGTCGTGTTTCACTTAATGATGCTTCTTTTCAACTGTAAATCAGTAGTTTTACCTTGCCCACCTTGCATAACGGACCGCATACAAACCGCGTTGTACGCAACACGTGCCAAACTCCGCGAGTTTCTCACAGGAAAATTGCTACTGACATATTTTAAGTACACACTATTTGTTTACGATAATCGTATATCTTGGAGGTGCAGTGTGGTATTTCGGCGAAGCACAAATACTTAGAACAGCTCACCTTACAACGAAACACCAAACATCCTGAGCTATAAGTGAGATGACCGGCGACGCGTGCAATGTAGTGTCCAGAAGAGCCGACTCCTACACAAATAAAGGAAATCACAGACACTTCTTAGGCTATACAACTACTAACTAATTTAAGATAAGAATTGCAAATTGGGCGATGGAGTTAGGTACACAGTGTGAGCTAGCACTCACTTCTGGATGAAGACTTTCTGAAAAGGGGCGATCTACAATGCACGCATTACCAAAGTATGTAAATACGCGACTTGACACAATTAGGTCATATTCGGATGGAAGAAACACAGAGGCAAGTGGCACTTAAAAGGTGCAATGGTCGACATTCAATTACTGTAGGTCCAATGAAGAGTCAGAATAGCAAATGATGTTCCTCACAACGCCCATTTCCAGCAAAGCTGTGGTATTAACAAGAACTGTTCCAACAAACTGACTGAGGCTACGCACAACTCACAAGTCGCCAAGCCCTCTAAAAGTACCCCTTCACATTCACCCACACTACCGACCAAGATTTCCCCTGCCAGACCAAAAGGACTGTGCTCCAGGGAATAAATAAATCTATTTGGGCATTTCTCTGGTCATGCGATTTTCACAAATTGCACAACTACTTACTCTAAGTAAATAAGTAGAATGTTCACCTGGCGCTTTTCGCACTTACCAAATAGGGGAATACGCTATTTGGGAGACAGCGCACTGATCGGCAAATTTCTATCGTAATTTCAGTGAGAAATTCTTCGACCGCGGAGGACAGCTTACTCTGATCTACAAATACACACCCGCAGGCTAAGTGAACGCGCCAAACTTGAAAACGATCAAAGACCAAAGCAAACAAACCAATTTTGAGGTTCAAGAACCTCGGGACGTGGAAGTCGGACAGTTTAGGGGTGATTTCGTAGGGTTTCCACGACGAAAACGCTGCTTCTAGATTCGTAAAAATCTGAGCGTAGGCGCTGAAGTTGTCCGAAAGCCACGATTGGAATGACTTTTCATCTAAAACGATACGATGCAGTAGAGTGGGGCAAATGAAAAAGTGCTTCAAACATCCGAAACCTACCCCGACGATTCGACAGGTTCACTAGAACGCTGGCGAAAGTCCGACAGTTCACGAGGGGTGCTAGATCTGGGGGGGGGGGAGGAGAGAATGACCGATGAATTTTTGTGGTCTGGCAAACTGGTAGGAGCTGCCATGCGGGTGAGCAAAAGCCCGAAAAAGAGTACACACTTGCAGAGACAATGGCATTCGCGGCTGCTGACACGTTGAGGGTTGGGTCGGATTCGATTTGACACAGGCAGGAGAGCGCCATCTCCGTGGCCACGAACAGTGACGTCGAAACTTCCTTGAGAAAATCCGCGTCAAGTCCAGTTCCTGCGGTAAACAGACCGCCAGCATATTGCACCCTACAACCAAACAGGACAAATGCCTGCACTTAACGATTACCTTCGAAAACTGAGTCGTTTAATGACGCGTGAGAATGTCTGGTGATGACGCTTACGCAAAGCTCCTCTTGCAACGAAATATGAGACGAATCATAACCAATCCGGCATTTTACTGATGCCAATTTGACTGACTTGCATTTTATAAATGCACGAAAAAAGGTCTTAAGAAACAGACAGCTGAGGTAAAAAACACCGCCAACTTCAAGCAAGACTTGATCTAATTCTCAAGATGGCTGTCAACAGCATCTTTGTTTACCCGATTACGCATCTCTGGGAAAACCCAGGCTAGGCTGAAAAGCAAGGACTAATCAGCAACTTGCCACAAAATCGGTGGATACTCGTACACAAACCAACGAAGACTTGTACGGCACTCATTATTTCGTATAACGTCTACATGGATTCAAGAACAAGCTCGCTATTGCAAGCACTCATCCCGATTGTGTTCTACGTAATTCTAGTTCCGCATGCACTTGACAATGCATGATCCAAATACTGACGAATGCTATCACTTGGAATATTATTTTTCTACTGCACGATTATTTATAAATCAACCTGCGTGAGCTAGTACCCCAATTTTGCTAAAAGAACAAAGATCTACCAAAGCCAGTGTATCCTAGGAGGATTAACTGTGAAAATTGCAGTATCATACATTTTTCATTGACAAGGCCACAGATTTTCATTACTGTCACACACACACACACACACACACACTTTGTCTTGTAGCTGACCCAACACGCACAATAATCGGTGATTGAAATCGCAACACAAAAACGTGATTTAACTTGGCCTTGGCGTGATCCTTAGGGGAAGACCAATCTGAAAAATTAGAATTAATTCCGTGGGAGTAGGTGCATTTCACTCCTCTGCATGAACAATACTAACTAATGAGTACCGTGGTTGGGAAACAAGCAAGTCATTGTTAAATAAAAGTGAGACTTACTCAATGGCCCAAGAGATAAAATCAACAATACATCTATGCTGACAGGTTTCTTTGGTTCGGAAAAGCACGGATTGGAACTGTTTTACACACCCAACGATGAGGCGACATATGAAGGCTGCGAGCTTGAGTTTGTTTCTCCATATTGGCTCTCCACTTTTTGTTGTCAAATGTTTCTGCAAAGACACCCATCACTTACACATATTATACACAAGAATACCTCAGTATCAACAACGCATTCGCTAAAAATGCGCTTGGCCGATAACAGCATACAGCGAATAAATTCGTCTGACATAGGTGCCTCGGTATCTGAGTCGAAGTTTTCAATTAGCGCTTGTTTTACCACAACGTGAAACAAGGAGAGGAATCTGCCACATAACGTTGAAATATTTATGCCTACTGTGAGACGAACTTCCAAGCCTGAAAACCAAGCCGGATTTCAGTTTGATCGGCTGAAGATGCAACATTTCCGAATTTCACAAGAACTAAACCATCAATGAGGCCATCAAAAATACATACGGGAACCAAAGTGCTCCGACGGCACATCAAATTCCTTAAGAGCTTGCAGAAATCTCTCATTTAAAAAGGCCTACAATTGTTAACTTTTATCCATAACGGACACACTGAAAGGCCAATATGGCTTTAAGCATTTCCAAATCTTCTTCGCAGGAGTCTGTCATTTTCTAAAAACGGTAAGATAAATGAATTGACATACACGATACACACTGTATGAGTTCAGAAGACCGTCCGAAAACACTGATAAAAATGTAATAAACTTGTTCACATCTTCATCTAGATTGTGTATATTCAAGTGGTTGATTAGATCAGAAGTCTCGCGAAGTGTATTTACAAACTAAGTATTCGTAAAGTATTCACGAACATTCATACCCCAGAACCGGGTAGGGAAGAAGACATGCTCCTAACTTTCACAGACGCCTGTTGCAGCTACAAAACTAGGTCTTCCATTTTTCAACAAACCTCGGAATCCATTAAAAAGTGACTACTTTATAATATCCAGAATAATGAGGAACCCAAAAAACACCACTTGGAAAAATGCGGTTAATGTGTAACCACAAACGAACCAATCATATTTCGAATAAGTCAATTTTCCACGATTTATTAAGAAATAGATTAACATCAGTTTCGGTCCTGCAAATCCCATTACTTATTATTGCTATCCTGTTTTCCGTTATGAATTAAAAGTGATTAAATTTAAGTACTGGCAGAAGATTCCAAAAGGTTTGAAGAGATAAACTGCCTATTTGGTAAAATAAGAGAGCGTCACGAATTTATTAAAAATTGGGTTTTTCTATATCGGATAGTCATTGTTAAATTTCGAGGCTTTTTGCTTGATGTTATTTAGTAAATAGTTACGTGCAGTGAGTTACCCCTCTATCGTCAAAATTTTTTTAGTCCAATGGACTGTATATTTTTTACGATTTAAACCATTAGGATGCTGTAAAACTCCTCTGGAAACAGGACTGTAAAAAAATTATTTAAACGCACACGACCTTATTGATCTGGCACAAATAATAGTGTGTGAAATGGAATTGGTAAGGTTTACTCAAAGTATTCTCTTTGCAATTCTCGTCGATAACTTAACCCTCGGAGTTGCTGACACATAGGTGTTACATTAATTACACCAGACATCGTCTCCCATACTCTGATGGATTCTTCCACCGATATGCGTCACTTCATTTCGGAAAATTTTGAGAACTGGAACAAAGTGATCACTCGAAATTAAGGCTCTTTTGACGATTAAGGGGTGCACTTCTCTTCCTTTCATGCAACCATACTTTTAACCCAACAGGGACAGCGCAGGTTAAAAAAGACAAATTGCAAGCTCGTTAAGTAGTATCATTCACCGTCACAATCATAACCCGTTTTTGTGAATTACATTAAAACACCTATTAAGCACTAACTGCCTAAACCGTCAGGAGTTTGTAAATTTACCACGAAAAGCGACTACAACAGGCCTCCACCACACCATGCTGCTCAACGCTTTCATCGACATACTTTGGCCCATACTCCAGCTCCTCCTGCGTTTACCGAACGCGCGAGCACTCAACGCGCGGATCACGTCCTTTGCGAGCTTACTCGTAACACAGTGAAACCCAGAACAAAATTAATTCCACAAACTTGCTAGTAGGTACGTTATCCCTTGGGTGTTTCGAAGGCACACAGTTACACAGGAAATATATGTATATATTAAAATCAACGCGCGTCTAAATCTCAGCACCAAATTATTAATCTTGCTGAGTGTTAACAGTCGAAATTACGTTGCGATAAAACGCATAACAAGGGCAGTTATGTGTATAACAACACCAAACTAGGCTTGGTGGTAACAGGAGACAAAGACATGGGGTGGGGCCGAAAGACAAGGGCGCGCTGGAGACTGCAAACATTGACGAGGTTGGAGGGAGGGTCAGTAAGGGACTGCGAATAAGTACAAGGAGCTCCAAGCAGGGAGCAACTGACGCGACATTTGTACAAGGCTGCCGATAGTTTGACTTGGGAGGAGGGGGGAGTCAGCGAGATATTTCTAATCCGGTTGGTACACGGAGCATTTCGGGATGAAGTCAAGCCGCAAAACCTGTAGGGACGGGGCCCATTACATGAACATGACCATTAAAAGTTTTATCCCTCTCAAAATTTCACATGGATCAGAAGCGCAGGTTATAAGAGTAAATTTTCAGCTCACTCAGCTATTTTTAGTACGTAACTTGTCGGGTGGACATTATGAGACGCTTGAAAATTACCTTTACACTGTTAGACAGGTCGCATTAGTGACAACCACTGAAAATGAGCTGGTTTCCTAGTCAAATCTTGTGACTTGATGATGGACTACAAACTGACCGATAATTACAACACATCACAAACGGCTCTTTTGGACAAACTGTAAGCTGCGATACTAAATAATTTGCAAAGAACATATATAAGGTTCAATTAAGCTGTTTTTGAATGGTTCAGGTCAAGAAAACACAGATATAATAACTTAAAATCCAAAATGCAGACCCCAAAATTTACATTAAATGGTCACTCGTTGAAAACATTTGGACCTAATTAAGTTACGTAGTTAAGGCAATGCAAGAAGCAAGACAAAAAGCTAGGGCAATGAAAATTAAACCTGACGTAGGGAAATCTCGATAAGAGTAATAAATAAAAGTTACTGGGATGCTGGGGACCACATGTTAAGACATGAGGTAGGGCACTTATGGAAAATGAACAAAGATTGGTACTTTGAACTAGCGACAGCGTCCCCCCTTATCACATTGCAAAATATTTAGCAAATACTTTATCCTGGAATTGGAGGCGATAAAGCCAAAGCGAGGTAAGACTCACATATTCCATTAAAACAACTGGCTCGGAAGATCTTTGCTTTGCTAAGCTCCAGTTGAGTCCAAGTTGACAATAAAGACGAGCATTCTCAGACTCAAGTGCCTTCTCGATGTTTCGTTTTATTTTGCGATTCACACAAATGGCAGGCCACATTGAACATCCAAGTGTGCAACAACAGCATATGAAGCCACACAAAAGCCATTTTAAGTTTGTTGGCATTGAGCGTCTAAGCTGACAATTAACCTTTGAAATTGTTTCCTGGAATTCTTCTGGAGCCACCTTTCCATGTAGTTCAGAAGGGAAATCGCTATTAAATACATTATTCATTCCAAAGCTGAAGCAAATATGACAAAACGACTCTTACATCGTTATATCGCCATTTCCCCGAACAATGATTGGTTCTAGTTTAGTTTCAGCAACATAAGTATCTGGAATTTCATAAATAATTACATCGGAATCTATCATTAGGAGAAAAAGCCAACTATATTCGCCACAGGCATCGACGCATTCACACACAATATTTCGAATGTTCCGCCATTGGATGCCATCCAGCTGAATTGTATGAACAGTCACTTTAACGCTAAGTTTGTATTGCATTTAAAATCACGAATAGAAGTGGTCAACTGTATTAGTAAATATTCTTTTTATATTATGGCTGGCAACATTAAACGTACATAGAAGTTTCCATTATGAATGGGAGACCTAGAGACAGTGTCGAAATCAAAATTGACAAACACTTGTGTTTGAGAATAAACGAAATCCCATTTTCTGTAGATAACAAGCCAGAAATAAGGCAGTGTAAATTTATGTCGCGCTCTTTAACCAGAAATGTAAATGTAATGCAGTCTTCGGTGAATTATACTTGTTTTTAAGAAAATTACACAATTTAAAAATGCTTTAGAATAAAATAAGAAGATTTTACTTTATCAATAGTGATTTATAGGTGGTATGGATTTATTAATGACCTGGGTTTCTGTAAAATAAATGGAAACATATTTGCCATTAGTGGCTGACTATGGCCTTTGTTTGTAGTGAAACGTCACGCCAATGCCGAAAATTTAAAATGGCTTATATCAGCATATGGTCCGTTGTCCAGAGTTTCATGTGGCGCCATGTCTAGAGCATCTATTAGATTCTATAAGTTAGAATCAACACGTTAATAGGATATATATATATATATAT